TCGCAAATCCTTAAAGGTTTTATAACTTCACTCTGACTAGTAATACCTTGTAAACTTGTGGAGTCAGAACTGCACTCTGAAGCAGCAACTCTATTCTCTGACACTCTATTCAACAATGGCTTACCAGTTTCAACCACAGACTTCTTGACCGCACTGTTATCGTCACACAATTCGGAGTCGGGCCTGGAGTTTACATTTAGCTTATCACTGAACTTGCTCACTGATTCACAGTTCACTTCTGTATGCACCTCTTGCAAACGTGTAAAACAAAACCGTGTTCGTCTTGCATCTTGTAACTTATCTGTTGAGGATGTACTACGAAACCTGTTACGCTCACTAGGTCTATATGCATTACTAGACATCATGGAGCCTTCTCGATATCCACCTCTCTGAGGCCTATTCGTCATCAATGATTGGGTTTTACCCTCAGACTACTCTATTCTAGGGGTGAGATGTAATAGACTGGCGAACTTGCTCATAGATTGATTGACACTATCTTTTACCAGTTTCAGGATATCATCAAATTTTGGCTCGATACCCTCATCCTCCATACGGGAGCTTATCTTCACCCACTTCCTTTGCAGTCGAGTAGGTAGGCGTCTTGCTATTACTTCTAGTATAAAACTCGAGTTGAGGTCACTCATGCAATTCATCGAAATCAATGCATTCTTGTAAATCAGCAAATTATCCAAAAACTCAGTAAGTACCTTGGAGTCACCCTGTAGTTGACTACCATTACCCCTAACAACCTCGAATAATTTCCCTACAATCATCGAAGGTCTTCAAAACCTTTGACGTAGTATGCTCATAGCCTCATCGTAGCACTCTTTTGGCTTCATAAACTTACAACACTGTATAGCTCTTGAAGCAACTCCAGTGCAGTACCTCATCAAATACATGAATTTCAATTCATCATTTAATAAAAAACTACTCAGCATGATCTCAAACTCCTTTACAAACTGTAAATAATCAGCTGGGTTTCCGTCGAAAAACCGTGGTTCAAATTTAGGGAGTTTGATGTTCCTATTATCCCTGAACGGCGAAACAGTAACATCAACCATGTCATGCTTAACATCAGACACATCGTTACAATTAACAGACAAGTCACCATGACTTACTTTCCTGTATGCATCCAAGACGCTCTGTCCCTTCTTTGACCCAGGCATTGTTGAACTTGACCCGATTCCAAAAACGTTCCAGATATTGCTTGTTCAAAGAGGACTTGACCGGCACCAGGAAAAATGAACGGCGACTATCCAAACTTTCACCAACTGTTTGAATCCGCCAGATCTGTTTCTATCCTCAGAAGCTGTCAATCACGTCTCATAAACCGTTAATGCCCAGCTCTCGCTACGCTCGGGCCCACGCTGTTCTTCGAAGATTTCAGAAACGCTTAGTTATAACGGATGAAATTCCAAAACACCGATCTGCCGTTTGATATTTCTGTATTGTTACACCAACATATAAAATGTATAAGCGAACTAAGGACTGAAAACAAATATTACAATAATAAATCATTGTATTACTTCTGACGATTTTTCACTCTTCTTTCTGAACAGCGACCGATGAGACGATGACTGTCGTATTGATGTCTCCACGAAAATTGAGGAAGTTGATTTTGAGCAAACAACCAAGAATTGATCTTTCAATCTTCAACTCCATTGACAACAGTTTTTAGAAATGATCTGCATTATTCCATGAGCCAGGTATAATACTTTTGTAATAGGATCCGTTGAAAATTTCACTTAATGGCGAACACAAGATGTCAGCACACGTCTTAAGGATAACAGCAGGAACACTATCAGGACCAAGGGACTGAGTAGGTTTGATAGATTGAAGACACCTGAGGACATCATTCGTGTTAAATCATGAGAAGCAGTCATTATTTACACTATTAGGGTTAGGAATCATAACATCTGCAGGGATACGTATGAAGGATTTATTAAGTATGTCAACATTGACAGAAATGTCATTCACTATTTGCTCACCACCTGCGATTTCCTTTAATAACTTCCACATATTAGGTGGGGATTTACATGTAAGATACTTCTGGTTATAGACAGCATTCAACTTTAATCAAAGTGTTCATTGTCTTAACACCAGATTTATTTTTTTATTTTGAACAACCCCTTTTTTTCACGGCGGAGCTTTTTGAGTTGAGAAGAGGAGAAGATCGTCTCTTTTGGACAACAAACATCAAGACAAAAATTAAGATAATGTGTTATGTTGGTAATTGCGTCATCAAGAGCTTGTTCAGTAAATAAGTCCCAGATGGTGTCTTTTAACATGGTCCTTAGATTCAGTATGTTGTCATGAGAATAACATCTGTGTTGTGTTTTCTTTCCAAGGTATGAAAAGACCCTTTTGTGCTGCTTTCCATATCACTGATCTTGAGCAGATAAGTGATTTAGAAAAGAAAATCAGCAACCGGACTGCATTCATTAGGACAGCCAAACAACAGGATGAGAGAGGATTAAAATTCTAAAAGGTAATATTGGTGGGCAGGTGGGAAGGGTGGTTGTGTATCAAATTCATATTCGCAGAAGATTCCATAAATCATTCTTGAGTCACCTGTAGGCACTTACAGCTTACCACAGCAAGCTGATTAAAGGCTGCAGTCGGTCGTTAAATGCGTCCTCTGTGGCGTTAGTGGGCTACAAAGTCTTCAATAAGTTTTCCTTAATTATGAATAGTTCTGGCTGCCTCTTCAGTGTTTTACACTGTAAAGATCCACCGGCTTATTGCCAGAAAGCACTCACTCGATACGTTTTTTCCTGCTGCTTACTACGGATCAGTTATTGAACCAATTAATGAAGAAGCCCCCAGCTACTTCCATGGTAATTTTAAAGTTGCAGAGAGTTGGTTGGCGAAATTTAGTTCCTCCCATTCTCATCTCAAGGGAGAGGGATGGAATAAATCCGTGAATTCAAATGAGATCTAGACATTTTCCCTCCAGAGGCCTGTTCCCCTATCTGCACCACCGGTGCTTCAAAGAAACGTAATAAGCGTGCAACGACGACATGATTATATTATGAAATGCACGCATTATTCTCCTTTAGAAACTGACTTTTCTACCACAGTAACTACTCAAATTTTTGTGATTACAGCTTGATTCCACACTGTATTTTTGGTACAGGTGTGGAATTTTCAGCATGAATATCGGTAGCCCAAATTTTGCAGGCCGACCACCGATATCAAGTGTGCGTCAGCAGGGGATCGAACCTCGGACCATGTGAGTCCCAACCACTGTACCGCCGATGTACAACTGAATTTTCAAGAATACCAGATACTTTTCGCAATCGATGCTCTTAGTTCGTAATCTTCCCTCATCTGACTGGTAATAGCACACGAATAATGAGACGAAGAAAATCAGTGTGTCAAGTTCGTGAGAGCCTGACCACAAGACTCTGATTTAACTGGTCGGCTCAGATAGAGAATGTCAGTACTAAAGGATGATAAGCTATAGGCTGTGAGTTTGAAGGAACCATTTACAATTATATGCTAATTTAAAAGTGCACTAGTCAACTGGGAGTTTTTAAAGAACAATACCCAGACTGTTCTAGTGGTGACTGGTTGTGTATTCCTGTAATCTCTCAGAACACCACCCACCCAAATACATCCTTTGATAAACCTAAGTTAAATACTCTGTTTGGTACTAGGGTTGTATTCAGTGAAACATAGATAGCTAGTTACGGCGGGTAAGACTTAGGAGTCAGCGAATCGCGTCTAAGTTCACTAGGATAGGTGGCGGCATGAAGAATTACCCGGTTACTACAAACTGAGACCAAAAGTCAAAGGGCCACACTTCCCCTCAAGCGATTTAATTGACCAATATTCAGGAATTGAAACTTTTGCAGCACTTTATCAAACCAAACAGGAACCGACTGGGCAAGAAATAAGCAGGAATAAATGGAGATGGATTGGCCATACTCTGAGGAAACCATCAAGCGACATCACTAGACAAGCCATCACTCGAGTGGAACCCGAACAGGAAGTGGCGAGTTGGTCGTCCACGGGTGACTTGGAGGAGGTCATGTGAAGAGGAAATGAAAGCATTTGGGCAGACTTGGAGCCAGGTGAAAACTCTACCAGAATACCGAACGCGATGGAGACGTGGGCGGCTGAAGCTCTATGTTCCTCTAGGAATTAAAGGAAGTAATAATAATATTACAGTTGCTCAGATCCCACTCATTCCAGAATCCGGTTTCTGTGTATCATACCTCAGCTTCACAACGTGGCGATTTATATGCAAATAAAAAGCTAAGACAGGTGGAAACGATGACCCCCTAGCAAATATTAACTTTACGATGTGTGATCCAAGAAGCAAAGAAAACCCAAGACAGGATTTTTTCTACCGTAATACGCACAGGTTCAAGTTAATTCACCATAGCTCATAGAGAATTACCATTAGATAATGGACGGTGGTGGACCGTTACTCAGAGGCAAAAAATTACCACACCAGTCAATTCTTGATAGTCAAACTTACGTGATAATACGTAGTTTTCGGCCTAAAGAATTCCTTCCAAACTTCAAAATATAGTGATGTGTAACAGATAATGACACATCTAACTGAAGCCCCAATAATCGTAAGAATGCATTCGTAATCTAAATCTTTTAATTTTACCGAAATATTTATTCTGTTAATCGAAGAGTTAATTTACTTACAACAGTTCCAAAGAATTATGACGTTATGAAAGTCTCCAGATAATATGTTTCCTTTTCAATGAGGATGGTGGTGCGTTCAGAACCGTCTAACTCTAGAAAATGTTCTAGTTCAACATGACAATGATTGCAGCAATGAGAAGTGCTACAGTGTATCGCCTAATTCTCTCTGGCAAACTTGAGGAAAGAAAGAGAAATATGAAGCGACTTCCAGAAATGGACTTGGAACGCATATTCGAAACCCTAATTTTTCTATTTCTCTACCTAAGTCGAGGGAAAACTTTAAAATATCTGAGATAAAACATGAGACATTGAATAAAAGAGTGTTTTCTAAATTCGATGGATCAGTTGGCGCTTTAAGCATTTCAAGGTTGCTGATCATGTGTAACTGAGAATGAATTTTGGCAATCTACAATGCTTTGTGGGCAAAGGGTATGTTTATTTCGAAGATTTTAAATTACATAATATAAGGCGAAAAAAGATTACATTTTATTCAGTAGATAAAATAGAATTCTACGATTTTTAAGCTAACAAAGTAGATTTCTTTGTGTAATTTGGGCGGTGAACGCCGATTTTATCGAAAGTGTGCACGTTTACGATCTTGTAGTCTTCCTCTTATCTTCTATTTTTCATGTTTTTTCACCAAACAGCCTGGTTTTAATTCTGGTGCCCAATATTTTTAATTGTCTTACGTTTTACAGTTGCGTATAGTTTCATCTGTCTGTTATCTTTCGCTTGGTACTAGCTTTTGTAGTAGCTCACGGAGTTTAGGTAACTTCAAATATACTTATGTGGATTAAAGTCCAGGTCATGAAAATATTACTAATACAATTATATTCTGGACAGTCTTCATATTCTGCATACTTATCATATTTTATTTGCATAATATATCTTCTTTCCACTAACAAGACATGGTTAATGTCAACCTCTTGATGATTGTGGTGTATTGGCATTGAGTTAGACTTACGTTCTCACTACATTTGATAGTTTCACACTATTGGAAATATTCAGATTGTTTGTTTTCACACTTATGTATTTTATTTATGTGTACCACTGCTCATCGTTAAACCACTAGTCTTTTCAGATTAGTATTGCAGCATCTTGCGCTTTACAGTGACAGATGGGATATCAATGATACCATGATTTCTGGCAAAAATATTCTGTATTTTATCAATGTCTTCATATGCTTACCTTAAAAAGAGAGAATTCTTTCCTTGTCAGAACTTGGTCCCTAAGTAGGTCATAATCGCTTTCATTAGTATGCTTATCAGAAAACGAGATAAAAGAAGAAAATTGAGCAACTTTCATGGACACCACTGATCGTCATCACTTCAGCTGATAATTCTCCCTTGGTTTCACGGTTGTGTGAATTCCAGTATTGTGCCTTGATGTTTTTTTATTCCTTTACGTTCCCAGTGAAAATTAAGGCTTCTAGATAGAGGCTTAAAGTTTCTGTAGCAGTGGGGATTATTTTTACAGGACGAGGTTGCTAGCCTTATGTCCAACCTTCCCTCTTCACCAGTCTTATTTACGGTTTAGCGAGGTAAAGGAGTGCCTCAGTGGACGGGGATGGAACCCCGGATCACCTTTGTGGTCGGCAAGCACTCTACCGCTATGCCACCAACGCACTTTTGCCCTGATTATTAAAATCTACTTTCTTGGTATTCTTTTCATTGCCAGACATTGTCAAAACACATTTCAGTCGACTGAGTCAAATTCCGCATCCAGGTAAAAACATTTGCCAGTTGTTGAACGCTGTCGAGGTGTAAAGAAGTGATCGGTATCCCTCTTCCAAACGTAAAGCCTAGCTGCTTCACATGTGTTTGTTTTTCTGGAGAGCCGCTTAGTTTACATAGGACTATGGGATCTGTAATCCTAGGTGTTGTATTGATTAGGTTGGTACCCCTGTGATTATCACATGGAGGCCTGTCCTCTCCTTAACTAACGTAGTCAACAGTTTGCACCATTCAGATGGGATCAACTAAGAATCCCACACCTTACCTAGTATCTCGGTTAATCTGGTCAATTATTCATCACCACCATCACCAACCACTTCCGTAGTCATACTATCATGTCCTGCTACTTTTTTCGTCTTCGAATAGAGCCACATGTACAATCACAGCTATAGCTAGTGAACAAATGTCTGCATCCTATTCAGGTGGGTGGTAGACCAGTTGAGCTTCTCTTCAAAGTGCTCTTTTTAATGTTCCGGTTGTGTCTCCTGATAAGTAATTGAACTATAGTGCTTCTCGAAAATTGTTCCAATTACCATAGGTTGTTTGCAGCTTATGCACATAGCGAGTCGAAATGATTGTCTTGTTTCATTTACAGCAGATGCATTTTCTATTCTTAGGCTTTTATTGCCCATCACTGTTCGCGGTAATTGCAAAACCGCTAGTTAACTTTCATTTTTGCATATTTCGCTCTTTGTCATGTTCACAGCGTGCCGAAGTATGTTTTCTTGCTTCTAATTACTCATTCACTATCTCCCCGCGACATTACTAGTTGAATTAAGTGTGTAATTTTACCGAGCAACTGCTGGGGTCTTGCATGTTCTGAATGTTGAACCACAGTTTGTACCAGGACTGCCCGAATCTTAGTAGAGTTTGAATATGTGAGTCAGTTGCTGATAGTCAGATGCCTGAGCTAATGAACTGCAGGCTACAAATATATTGGGTAAACTAAGAATAACAAAGTCAAGTAATGGTGCTAAACCGCAAAGTATTCTATCGTTAACTTGAGATATATTAATTGACAGTGAGGAAATGTTTTTGACTCGTACTCATTATTTGGAAATTCACTATACTATAGTGGCTTAGCTGCACTGAAGTCCAGCCTTTATCTTCGTATTAACTAATATCACCTCTAGCGTATATATGATATCCGGCTATCGATCAAATGGTGTATGCACTGCGCAGTACGCTATGTCCTTTATAGCTGTGGAACCTAGTTCTTGAAGTTAGGTGAAGAGGAAAAGTCAAATGATGCATTTGTAAAGCTATGTAGATTGAGATAGCTGAGACAAGTGGTACGCATGTCGAACCATCGCCTTCCTTTTCGTGCAGTGTTGGCTGACATAGGATTACGTTAAAAAGAGTTGGGGGGGGGCAGTTATACCGAGACTTGGTATCAACTCATGAAGTCTTTGACTGTTCGTCGAAGCCGTGTAGGAAGGTGTAGACTACCTGATTGGATGTCCTAGAGATGCTGGAGATTACTGGTGATATAGCTTAAAATCATGATCACTGTCGCAGATGCATGACATTCTATGTGGTGTCGTATATCCATTAAACTCTCATGTTTTTCTATGGTAATATTCTTTCCTTCTTTCTTCGTGCACTTCTGCTCATTGTGGTTATTTAAAATCTCCTTTTCCTCTCTTTTGTTCGCCTTTGTATGCTACAAAGAGTGTGGAGAGTTGATCTACTGTACTTCTATGCAAAGTCCTTTGTAAAAACTGACTCATTCAGTCGTTTCTTTTTGGTTTTCACAGCGCTTTTAAATAGTTTCAGAATTGTTCCCATGTCTTTAATATCTATCTCGTTAACTTCATTCATTCCAATCGAATGCATGAGTAGTATTTGATAGATTTTGTACTTCTGTACTTTAACACATTACTCTTTGTCACAAATATTGTTGATTCTATAAATATTATTCCCTTGTGTTACCTACGAGTTGGACATCGGGCTTCAAGTTTGAACTTTGAACTTTCAGTAGTAAAGTTATTTTTACTGATTGGGGCTACTGTCTGTCTGTCTGTTTTCGTCATATAATTTTGTATCAGTGTGCAGCAGTTCAAGTCGCCACACTCCCCCATGTAGCACACAAAGCAAGAGAAGAAAGTAGAAGAAATGCAAAATGGGGCCAGTAGACGGCAATATGAGACGAAAGGAACAGTTATAACGAAGAACAATATAGTTTCATTGGAAATCATAAGTCACAAGGAGTGGATGCATCTACACCATCATTGAGAACGATGAGTTTGAGCCATATCACCGATTGTTTCCAATCATTGGTTTTTAACGTCTCGAGGACCCAAATCAGGAAGTCTACAACTTCCTACGTCACTGGCTGGCTTAAACTAACTGTTGTGGATTTCATTGATTGAGGAAGCCATGTTTTGGTTTGACCACCTCTGACTACTTCACTCCCTGTTTCTAAGCTACGAGTCAGTGTGGTCCAGTCCTGTAACATCATCTTACATGTGGCGGGAGCGAATCGCATGCCAAACATTTGTAGATTGCAGCTCAAGGTGTTCAAAAGATCCTGCAATGTGTCAGCGCCCTCGCCTAGAAGGACTATATCGTCCGCATATTCTAAGTCAACGAGATTATTCCCTGTTGGTAGCAAGTCAATCCCTGAGTCTCTGAAGTGAGTTAGTGTTAAATCCATTAGTACATGTATGATGAAATTGAATAGAAATGGGGACAGTGGGCATCCCTAACCGACATCACTAGTCGTCACCACTTCAGGTGACAACTCGCCGTAAGCCCTCACCTGGCTGGCTGCATGAGTTCGAGTAGAGTGCCTTGATCAGTGCAATGTATTTTCTCGGCATTCTTTTTACAGCCAAGCATCACCAGAGTACCTTTCAGTCGACAGAATCGAATGTGGCTTTTAGGTCAAGAAATATAATGATTGTTGGACGCCGGTAAGAATGCCTATGTTCTAGAACCTGTCGAAGGGTGATTGGGGCTACTAGCCTCACGCCCAACCTTCCCTCTATACCAGGCTTACTACCAACTATGTAAGAGAGTAAGGAGGATGGTATCTGCTGGGAATCGAACCCATGATCACATGTGTGTGGTTGACGAGTATTCTACCTCTGAACCACTGACGTAAAACATAAGGCTTTATGAGCACATTTGTTCACTTAGTGCTTACATGAAACTATTTCCTTGAACCGTCGTTTATATTAACAAATGTCCGTATTTTTATTTATTTATCTGAAGTGGTATGAATTCAGCCATCAGTGCGACTATAAAAGACGAAGAGTGTAAAGTTGAACAGCAACTACGACAACAACAACAATCATATCACCAACAACAACAGCAGCAACAGCAAGCTCATCAGCAACAACAACAACAACATCAACTGTTCAGACCAAATCCTGCATATAATTTTGGACCATGGGATTGGAATGCTGCTATGCATAATACTAATAACAACAATAGCAATAATAATAATACTAATAACAATAATAGTACCATGAATAGTATTATTACTAATGGAAGTCAACAACAATTATCTAGACCATTTTTTCCTGATAATGATGTTATGAAAATGATTAATTTTATAAAACGTAAGTTGATTTGACTGTTAGTGGCGATTTATTCATTTTCTTATACACCTTGAAATGTGCTTTGGACTTTTGTATGTACTAAGCATCATGAAGCTTGTTAGTTGCGTGCCATTGTCACTTGCTGCTACTAATGGAATGTTTGTAATCAGTACTCCTGATATATGATATATGCTTCGTCCTGGTATGCAAGTACAGTATATGCAGTGGTACTAGTGGTAGAGTGCTCGCCAACCACACCCCATATGGTCCGGGGTTCGATTCCCGGCCACTGACTGACGCACTCCTTAACCTCTCTAAGTCAGTAGTAAGACTGGTGAAAGGGAAAGGTTGGGCTGGGCATGGGGCTAGCAGCAACCCCATCCCGTGAAAATAATCACCACTGCTACAGAAACTTCAAGCCTCTAGCTTGAAGCCCTGTGTTCAACTGGGGACGTAAAGCCATGGAGAGATAGTTGGTTGGGGGAGAAAGTACAAATTTCATACAAGCGGTTCCCTTGATTAATTTGAACAAAGAAAGAAGGAATATATATATATATATATATATATATATATTATATGCAGAATAATACGTTGACTCCGAATTATAGATAGAAATTATAAGCAACATGATTCCAAAAATGATGTAAGTAGACGAATTATTCAGTGTTCAAAGAGTAGCTCCATATTAGTTTGTTTATTAGATAGATGTATCATACAATGCGTGAAATAGCAGTATTATTTACTAGATGACACAGTTTCGAACACAATTTATTGTGGTTCATAATCATATCATCAATTATAATCACACAACTTCGAAACTTGAGTTTTATGGTTTTCTTTGTCCCCTCCTGTTTGTCGTCATTGGGGTAGTAGAATTTTCCAGATGTCTGCGACAAGTGTTGAATCATTCCTATCACACGTGTTGGTTTGCAGTTGATTCGATAAATAAAGCTTCTGTTATCAATCTCTCCCCCTTCACCCTGTGACATTAGATTTTAAGATTGTCATCTTATCCCATTCAGTCTATTGTATGCTTGTGTGTGATTGCATGTAGTGAGCACCATGGCCGAACTATTCTCCAGATTTCTCATCTTATTTGGGTCAACCAATCTAGATTTTGATAGGTTTTTGTGCTCCGCTAGTCTGACTGACTACCGTTGTTCTACTACTTTGAACTATGCATTTCACCTGACAATTATTCCAGCAGGATATTAGATAAACTAAATTCCTTTATTTAATTGGCTCCACAGGACCCTTTAATCAACAAAGCTTGTTTCTAATTGAGTTTGTGGTTGGTGTGAATGCCAGCCACTTTTATTCCTTCTCCTTGAGGCTTCCGAGGTTCCTTCCTTGTATGGAATTACTACTGATGACTTAGATTCATTATTGTTGGTGTTGTCCTGTGCATGTGTGACATGCATGTCATCATTAACATTACTACTATTTACCATTGGGAACGTAAAGGAATAAACTAAAGGTTTTCTTTGTATGTATTGATTATTTTGAAGGCCTAACTACTAATTAGCACCATGTGTTCTGTATCTACCTGGTATTTGATTATTGCATTTGAGAACACTGTACTACCCCTTTCACATACAGAGCACTTTTAGGAATATACTTGGAAGATATAAAAGTCATCTAGTATAAATGTTTACCGTCGCCATCAAGTTACTTCTCTTGTCGTCCAAGTAGTTGGTTAAAACTTTTTTTCCTTGGAATAGGTTTTTCATGTCCTGGGATATGAGCCACACTTATTGTTGTGACGGCTGATGATATTATCCAATTGCCTAGGCTAAAGTAGATAAAGCACGGGACTCGGGCCCCTGGAATCATTGACTAAATGCCAAGTGATTAAGTTGATTTATCATATCTCCGCTAACCATCTAGTCAACCGGTGGTGATGCTGTTAAGCGTAAATTTTTCAATAAACTGGATACGATGATTAGCCGGTGATTGATATACATATAAACCATTTTGATGATACCTGTAGGGTTTATAAATAGTGTCTATATATATATATATATGGTTTCTAATGAGGTAAGATAAGTATGAAAATAAAGTTTTCAGTAGGATAAATGGACAATCACTTATGATGCCTGTTCACATGACAGCTATAGTGGTGAGTATCTCTGCCCCTGTCACATGGAAGGCCCGAGTTCGATTCCCGGTCGAGGAGCTGGCTTTGTGCGTCGGTGGTACATTGGTTAGGACTCTCGCCGACCATGCATATGGTCCGGGATTCGATCCCCTGCCGACGCACACCTGATATCTATGGTGGTCGGCTTGCAAAATTCGAGCTACACGGATATCACATACTGAAAATTCCATACCTGTACCAAAAAAATTATAGTGTGTGGAATCAAGCTGAAATAAAAAATAAAATAAAAATATTTGAAATTATCGATTGTTGAAATGCCTTTTTAAGATCTTACCCCACAGAGTATGACGTCTTTAAGGTGAGAACTGCTCATGGGTTATCTGGTCACAGCCTACATTTTGTTAATCAACTTCAATATTTAAACCTGAATTAATGTTACTCTCTCTCTCTCATATTCTCTGATTAATTGATGAACAAGTTTTTATAAGAATAAAATTTTTCTAGTCTGATCACAAACTAACATGAAGAGCTGAGGGAATCAATGGAAACTAGGGTGTACTGGACAGCTGTTTCGTTCTTAGTTTGGGGGGACTCTTTCAATGGGTAGCTGAGCGGTCGGCAAGGTCGCCGCCTCATAACTTGAAGCTCGTGAGCTTTTTGTTTTGTTCCTGAAGAGTCATCAATTAGGACGCGAAACAGTTGTCTAGTAGTACTCCCTGGTTCCCAAGTGACCTTCTAACTGATGTCACAGTTTGTGATGGGACTTGAAAACTTAAAAATATCTTGATTATTCTGAATTCAATGTACTAAACTAAATAGTATTTACAATCTAATATGTTTATGCAGCTTAAAAATTAGGTAAGCCATTTTAGGTGAATTGTTGTCATTTTCCTTTCTTAATATATGTGCTGTTAAATATACCTACGAAGGATGTTTGTAATCATGTCTCCTCTCCTATTCTTCCTTATTATATATATATTTCAATTGGATTGTAATTTACTTATATAAAGATTTTGTTAGTAGTACTTACTGAGTTTCAGCACAAGAACTTTGCCCAGAAATGCGATAGGTCAAATTGTCACACTCCACATTTAGTACTAGTACACAAAGGTAGATTAAAAGAGAGGAGAAAACAAGGGGTTCAAAAGAAGTATAATAATAAGCAAAGAGGTCAGCAGGAGGTGATAGTAATATATATGCGGGGATGGGGGGCGTGAAGGACTCGACTTTGTGTCGTTACCATCAGTTGGATATGATGTGTCTGCTAAAATCAACAGTATGGAGACTTGACCGTTTATCTTTCTCGTATTACCTTATTTATAGAAAAAAAAATATATATATATACTTATTAATTTATCAATTTTAGAAGAGAACTATGGACCTGCAATGATTAATCATGCTAATTTCAATCATGAAAATAATAATAATAGTAGTAACAGTATTAATAATAAAATGAATTTAATGCGTGATGCTCCACCCCCATTGGATAAGCTAATTGAAATGGGTTATCCAGGCCAGCATTACCCTTATACACTGGATCAATTACATTCACAATTTCAATTTAATCAAAATAGATGTCCACCTACGACAACAGCATTATGTAAGTCGAACTTTTCTTTATTATTTTTTTGAGAATGATGTGGGCACCGCTAAGTGATGTGAGGCCTAGGATACTTTTCGGACGCCCAGACCGAAGCTAGTGGTTGTCCCAAGAGGTCAGCGCCTCTCCATCCTTTGATTTGTAGTTTGATTCACAAGACAGTCGAGAGGCGTCAGGGGCTGTGTCCCTATTATGCATCCCGATATCCAAAACATGATCATACTACATTCGATCCGTTTTGATTTTGGAGTCCATGTACACATCAGCACACAGATTTGGAGTCAGGGCTTTTTCCAGCTCCCCTAGGTAGATCTGGATATCCACCAGTCCGGCTGTGAGCACTATATGTTCGCACTATCCCCTTTCACTTTTGTGAAGAACACTCCCGCCGCCGCATGAAGTCAGTGAATAGGAGTTTCCCTGGCACAGAGGCTATGAATACGTGGTAACGTGACAGCATTTCCAAAGAAAGACTAGAGTCTATCCATCCATCTTGATTGGTTTCAACCACACTCCGTGTACCACAAAAAGGTAGAGGAAAGAGAGAAAAAAAGGAGATTAAAAACAACTTTAAATAGTTAGAAATGTACGGTAGAAAGAATAGTAACATAGAAAAATATGAGGGTCTAATAGATCTAGGGCATCACAAGGAGTGGATGCATCTGTACCACTGATTGGGATTTCGAAACATATAACCAATTGTCTGCAGTTATTGGTTCTTAGCATTGCAAGGTCCCTAACCAGGTAGCCTGCATCTCCCTACCTCGTTGGCTCAAACTAATTGTCAGAGATTTTACGGACTAATTCCAAGTTTTGGTTAGACCACCGCCACCACTGCCTCTTTTCCAATCTAATCCCATGTCATTCAGTTAATATCGCCCGTCGAGGAATACGATGGCTAACCATGCATGTGTGACACATGTACTAACCAACTCGATTGGTGTAGTAGCCTCACAACCTGGTCAATTGATTTCCTCTCCCTTACCTAGCATTCGACCAAAGCCTCACCTCAATATTGGTCACTCTATTATATCGCCTAACACACACTGGAGATAGAAAGCAGGCATCTATGATCAAAAACAGCTAGCCAGGCTTTTCATGTCTTCCACTCTTAATGGCCACGCTCCACTCACAGCCATAAAGGAGGACGGAGCAAAGTGACAGTTGAGCAGTACAAACATTCTTTTGTCGACAGTCAGTCAGATATCAAATCTACTAAACCAGATATGAGATGGCTTAAGTTGGCATATGCCAAATGTGAGCCTTCTGTGTCCGTGCTGATTGATGCGTCGGAGTTGATCTTATTCCCCAAATAAGTGAAGTGGTCAACACGCTCTATCATGTCACTGCCTATCTATAATCTAGAAGTCGGTGCAGTCCAGCCCGGTTGCATCATCTTACATTTGACATGAGCTAATCGCATGTGAAACATTCAAAGATTACTGGTTGAAGTGTTCAGAAGACTTTGCTGGATTTTGTCAGCGTCTTCAAATAAGAAGACAATATCATACACAAATTCTAAGTCAACAAGACCGTTCCGTTGTAACAAGTCAATTTGTGAGTCGCTGAAGTCAGAGTTTTATTCCATTAGTACATCTATGATGAAATTAGACAGAAGTGGGAATAGTAGGCATCTATGAACGACGACGCCACTGGTTGTCATCACTTCAGGTGACAATTCTGCATAAGCTGTCACAGCTACGTGAGTTCGAGTGGAGTGCCTTGATTGGTGCGATGTACTACTTTCTTGGAACTCCCTTCATGGTCAAACATTGCCATAGTATCCGTCGGTCGACGGAGTCGAATTCCGCCTTCAGGTCAAGAATTATGACAATTGTTGGACGCCGGTAAATACGACTGTATTCCAGAATCTATAGAAGGGTGACGATACGACCAATACATCCTCTTTATGGTTTAAAGTATATCTACCTTCGGTCATAATGGATTGTTTATGGGAGCAAGCACTGAATATAATGTCGCGATGATGATGTAATAAGCGCGAATTCTTTCCACTACTGAGGTCCATCTAGTCGGGAGTGAGGACGGAGTTCCCACCGATAACATTGGCTGGTGGTCGCGGTAAAAATCACGAATTGGTTGGAGTTGAAATTCTTGCGGGGGCCATTGAGTTGGGTCCCAGTGACTGAATGGTATACGAGACAGTTTGCCTTATAGCCGGAATGTCCTGGGTTCGAAACTCGTGTTGTGGGTGCGTACTACCGATAAGTTCCAAACTAGGGGGGATGAAACAGCTGTCCAGTACACTCCCTCATTGGTTGTCAATAGCTCTCTAACTGATATTGATTCGTGGTCTAACTCGTTTGACTGGTTTCAACGTAGAATTTTGTACCAATATGCAGCAGTTCGAGTTGCCACACTCCATTTAGCACACAAAGCAAGAGAAGAAAGTAAAAAGAGGTTCAAAACAGAGAATATAAACAGAGATATGAGGCAAAAAAAATAGTAATATAGCAGAACAATATAGTTTTATTGGGTATTATAAGTCACAAGGAGTGGATGCATCTGCACCAGCATTGACAACGATCAGTTTGAGCCATATCACCGACTATCTCCAGCCTTCATTGGTTTTTACCATATCGAGAACCCCAACCAGTTAGTCAGGAAGTCTACACCTTCCTACGTGAATGGCCTAAACTAACTGTTGTGGATTTCATTGACTGTTTAGTTGAAATAACCTTAACCAATTGTAATTTTGTTTGACAAACTTAATGTACACATACATACAAAATAACATATACGTATATATTTGCGATTGTACAGCTAAGCATGAATGAATTCGCCGGCGAAAAGAGTCTCTACGCTGATCTACGTGTTTTGTTTTCGTTAATGCCTGAATGGGAATTATCCATGAATAGTCTAATGCTCACTAGTGACCTTCCATAGCATGAAGCTGCGTCTGGAGATCTATCATGAGAAGTTGTGATTATCAGTGGGAGTTCATCAAAAGTCGGGGACAACTGAAGACAATTACTTCCCGATGACATCGACTAATGGTGATGTTATATGCATAGTCAACCGACAAAAGTCACCTATTCACCAGCCACCAAGCACATCTTGTAACCTGATTTTGTGTGCATATATGGAAGTGTGCGGCCGGTGATTATTTCCCGTCTGCTAACACACTCAGGTCCGTCAAACATAGTCCGTTCGAAGTCGGTTTTCGCCTTCTTTTTACTGATGTAATGAGATCGTAATGCCAGATGTTATGAACCGCCACAAGCTATCGATCTTTGTTGTGCACAGTGGTTAGGACTCTCGCCGAACATGCACATGGTCTGAGGTTCGATCCCCTGCCGACGCACACCTGATATCTATGGTCGGCCTGCGAAATTTGGGCTACCGATATCACACGGTGATAATTCCATACCTGTACCAAAATTACAGTGTGGAATCAAGCTGTAATCAAAAATATAAAATAAAATAAAAAAATAAAAACTACACAACTTCAAAACTTGATTTTTCATTTTCCCATTTGTTGTAGAAGTACTAGAATTTTTTACACATATCCTAGTGAGGTGTTGAATCATTCCTTTTTTTCATGTGTTCTCAGTTGTTCGGATCGATGAAGTTTCTGTTATCAATCACTGTTTCCACCCTGTTATATTAGATTTTTGAAACTGTCATCTTATCCTATGCTATCCTATCCTATATTGTGTATGGTTGTGTGTAATTGCATGTAGTTAGTGCTCTATAGCGCTCTGATCTACATTATTTTCTAGATTTCTTATCTTTTATTAGGATCATCTAATCCAGATTTTGTCTAGGGTTTTATGCTCATTCATTGCTAATCTAACTGACCCTTTCCTGATTGCTTTGGTCTATCTATTTGACCCGATGTAATCATTCCAGTAGGGTATTATTAGATAAAACCAAGTTATACGCATATACATGTATGAATAAATAAAAGAATTCAAACGTCTAACTTGTTCATTATTATTAAATCACATGACACTAGTTAAAGCAATAAGTTATTATGCCCTAATTATATATATTTCGATTTGAAATCAAAAGAAATGGTAAATTTTTTTCGAAACGTTATGCAGTGAATAATACTGTTTCACTATTCACTGCAGCAGCAGCAAAGCAGCAAGCAAATACACCCGGGTGATGAGACTCAAACAGGACGAAATGCAGATCCTAGACTATATATATATATATATATATATATATATATATTATTGTTCCCTTGGGTTCCTAGTGCAACATAGGGCTTCAACTACCCGTCTCCACTTGCTTCTGTTTTCTGCTGCTGTACTTTTCACCTGCATCCATGGTAGTTAGTCCATACTGTTTCAACTCTTCACACGATCTCCTCCATGTCACCCTTGCACTGACGTCCCACTCACCACTTCCCTTTCGGCTTCCACTCGAGGGCCTGACGCGCGATGTCACCAAGCGGCCCGGCCTCCTCAGCGAGTAGTGTCCAATCCGTCTCCACTTTCTCCCTCCTGCATATTTGTTGGTTGGCGATTGGTTTGTTCTTGTTTTGTTTTTTCCCATAGTTTCCAGTAGTTGATGATTCTTTCCGGCCTGGCCACCCGATTGATCTTCAGTATATATCCAGCGAAGACAGTTGTTGTTGTTGTTGTTGTTGATAAAGGTCTGCATGCTGCAGGCTGTTGGAAATATTCTTTGTGACCCTCTAAGTTTCTGATCCGTTTAGAAGAACTGACTGACTTGACTTTGTTTGTATAAAAATCCGACTGAATTTTGTTGATGCTGGCTGAGTGACGAAGATTTCCAGATTGGTGACAGGTTGATGAATGTGTTTCTCGCCTTCCTGATTCTCGCTCGATTTGACATCTTCGTCCGTTCCCACTACCTGTAGTTGAAACAATGCTCCCTATATAAGTGAATGAATGAAGTAGCCTCTTTCAAATCCCTTCCATTGATGGTGATTGGCGCTGGATGTTGTTGTTGTTGTTGGTTGGCTATTTTCATAACCCCTGTCTTGTCTATGTTCACTTCGAGTCCTGTCTTCGCCGGCTGTTTCTTCGACCAGTTTGTCGGTCGGTTTTCACTTGCAAGTCTTCGATTTTGTGACAGTGACATCAAACATAAATCATCCACGCGGGAAATCCAGGTCTTCTGGGTTCTTCGCGTCGGTCTAGGATATCCCTGTCTGCCCGTTTCCCACTGTCTGACGTATAATCCAGTCCACCACAATTAGGAATATCATTGGTGATAGTAAGCACCCTTGTCTGACTCCTGTGTTTACTCCAAACTCCTCGCTGAGTGTTCGGTTGTGGATCACTTGACATGTGCCGTTGTCGTACAGCTGTTGAATAAGGTTGATGAATATTTGGGGCACTGTACGCCGTAGTACTCGAGTAGTTTCCAAATTACTTCGCGGTCAACGCTGTCTGTGGAAGGCCTTCTCAAAGTCTATAAAGTTGAGGTAGAGGTTTGATATATGCTTGCTGTGCCCTAAGCGATTGTTGATAGTATTCTCAGTGGGGCTCAAACCCAGCATTCATTGTTTCAAATATCAAAAGTATATAGCCTAGACTAGTCTGCTTGAGCAACAAGAACCACCGCTTATGCGCTCTGGTGAAGAGTCCTAAAGTAGGACGAAACAGTCAGCTCCCTGGTCCAATGCTCCCTGGTTTTCAATGATCTCCCTGGAACTGATGTTGATTCATGACGAAATCTAACATTTGAAATTACTAAATAATCGCTTAAGGGAGAGGATTATGTACACATATAGTGGCACATTTTTACATACATCTTTACGATTCTTTCTTTCTCAATTGTTATTTTTTTTTTTATTTTGCCTTTCAAGATAAAGATCCCAGTATACACAGTGAAGAGAATCATATCTACTCTGAAGTTAATAACACCGGCAGTAACAATAGCAACAACAGCAATAATAATGGCACTAAACCTGAAATTCAAGAAGATCAATCACCGCTAGATAAGAGCACATGTAAAGGTGAGTCATTTTCACTATGTTTTTTTCACTTCGTGGTTCGGGTTCGATTTCCAGACCGAGTGAGTGTGTGTTACTCCTAAACCTTGTTTGAGCCTCCCCCCCATCGATCAGTCCTAAGCCCAGTCAAGAGAGTAGATTGAGTGTGAGGCTAGAAAACTTCATTATGTAGAAGTAAAGATATCACTGCTACTGAGATTTGAAAGCTGACTGCTTACAATCCTATGTTCTCTAATCGAACAAATTGAAAAAAGAATCATTTGTGGTTTTCTGAACACCATCTGTTCATATTTTATGGAGGTATAGTGTTCGACTACTGATAATAATAAGTAGTTTGTAGGCGTATGCAGAAAATTTCAAGTAGGTCAACCAGTAAGGCGATTACTTTCATCTGTTGTAAATTTTCACAAATTTGACTCTTATTTTATTATCATCATCTTCATCAATAGACTTTTCATCTTTTTTAATTCATGGCTTAGTGAAAGGAGGATATTAATTTAATCAATTTCGATTTTATCCCTTTACGTTCCCAGTGGGACATAAGGCTTCAAGCTAGAGCTTTGAAGTGTTTTTGGTACCAGTGGGTTTGGCAAGGTTCAACAATAGCGTCTCAAGGGATGCAAAAACATGAGTGACCTTCACTCGATCAATGATAAAAATAAAGCGACTTTTGCACAAAAAAATGAAAACACATTAAACAGGGTATCTTTCTCCGATATGACTTAAAAATACGTCCCAGTTATAATGAGGAGTATCAGTTGGCAAGTTAGACTAGTTTCTGTATATGTATTCACCGAGATGATGAAAAACGAGCTGTTTTTTGGTGATTTGTTTATCTCTCTTATCCTGTTGTGCCTGTCTTCCCCAAAGCCCTCGGTTGCATTACTGTGATTTCCAGTAAGAGGATCGACGACTACTTACCGGGATAATGTGGATAAGAAACCGACATAAAATAAATGACATCAACTCTGAATCTATCCCTAGTTTGTAACCCTAACCCTTACCGCAATACTTACCTTAACCCTAATCCTAACCCTAACCAGCTATTAACACATTGTCGAAACAGTACTTAAAAACGTGATCTGAGTGAAATTTGCTGCTTAGTTGGTGAATATCGTTGATATTTCACCTGTGATAATAAAAGGTGCTGTTAACCAATGATTAGCATGCTTTCAAGATCATTGGAGCGTTCGCACTCCTGGAGGGACGCTATTGTTGAACTTTGTCGTGGGTTTTTTTTTTAGAAATTTTCTTACAGGATGGGGTTAATAGCCCTATGCCTAACCTCCCCTCTTTACCGACATTACGGTCGGTTTGGTGAGGTAGAGGAGTGCGTCAGTGGTCGGAGATCGAACCCTGAACCACATGTGTGTGGTTGGCGAGCATATTCTACCTCTGAACTACCGACGCGCCTAATCCATGGAAGGTATTAGTGTTCAGGGATTTGATTGGTTTCAGGTTCGATCATGAGCCATCGAAAAACGATGGATCAAACCTGTAGCCAATCAAATTCCTGAAGACCCCAACACGTGGTAATTAGTCTGATATATGCTCACTTTCGACTTGCTCTGTTACTCGGAGTTTTAGTGAGAAGTTGTGACCAACGGTGTCCATATAGTCCGTCAGGTTAGAGAACAGTTACTCAACTGTGACATTGTATAGCAATTGTGCCATACATATATATACCTTGCGAATTGGCAGTTGGAATTCACGGGCCAGTATATCGAGTCCCAGTGGCTAAATGGTCTACGAGCTAGCTCGCCTTGTCGCCGGAAGGTCTTGAATTTGAACTTGGATGGATGCATGCTATTGAAGAGCCCCAAATTAGGACGACAACTGTTCATAGTCTTTCATTTCCTCGTCGCACGACCTTCTCCATGTCACTTTCGAAGTGACTACCTACACCGCCTGATAAGCACACAATGTTATTCGATGGGGTCTCTTCAGCGTGTGTTCGATCCATCTCCATTTTCCTCAATAGGTTCTCGCCTGTTGTTGGCTTGTTCCCTGTCAGAGTTTCTTGTTGCTTATTCTTTCTGGCCAGCCGGCTGGTCATTTGATCTTTAATATGTGTAGCTAGTGAAGGTATCTGTGGATCAAAGTTTGGACTAACTTGCTGGAAATACTCTTCGTGACGCGTTAGCCAAGTTTTTAATCCATCTAGGCATAGAGGCAGCGACTGACTTAACATTTGTGTTGAAAATCCGAGTCTGGTTCTTTATGCTGGCTGGCTGGACGCAGGAGATTTCCTCCAAACTGATTTCAGAGTGTTAAATATCTGTATGGCCTTCCAGATTCTGGCTTTGATATCTTCATCTGTTCCCCCTGTAGTTGAGATGATGTTTCGTAGAGAAGTGAAAGAAGTAACTTCCTTCAAATTTCTCCCGTTGATAGTGATTGGTGGCCGTTGTTTTTGGTTGGTTGTTTTCATCACCTCCATCTCTTCTGTGTACACTTGAAGTTCTGTCTTCTGTGTCAGTCAACTTCTTCAGCCAGTTTGTTGGTTTTCTCCTCCAAGTCTTCAAGTTTGTGTGACATTAAACAGAAATCATTCACTGACGAAATCCAGATCCTCTAAAGTCTTCTTACGGGTCCAACACATTCCTCCTGTTTGGTTACAGGATTTTATAATGAGCTGACATCGGTTAGAGAACCATTGGAAAACCACCTTGGAGTCTTGGAGAGCTGTTTCATCAGCCTAGTTTGGGGCTCTTCGGCAGTACGCACTCCGTACTGCGTTTCCAACCCAGGACCTCCGGGTTACAAGGCGAACTCGTAAGCCACTGGTATGGTGAGAACTGGCTGCTAGCCAAATTGGTAGACAGTAATTTACGTCAATGTTTACGTCCCCAATATTCGTCGTGAGAAAAATAAGAACAAAGACTGTTTCAACCTTCAGTCACAACAGACTTCGCGTAGGCGGATACAATTTGCAGATAGATGATCTGACATTGAAGAAACAGGCATAAAGAGATGCAAGGTCAACTTTCTGTGAGAAACCACCAATCAGAAGACTGTGTTTGTCTACTAACAATAGTCTATAATAATGTACATGAAAATATATAAATATATGTTGATCTCCTAAATAAAGGATCTGTTGCCTGGCCTTTGTCTTCTGTTGTTACACTGGGACCCGATCCAATGGCAAGTCCATGAATTCAAACTTCTGCCAATTTAGGACATAGCGGACCACACTAGCCAATGTCATCGTTGGCGAGTATTTGTCCTCACACGTGACCTGCTGTGCCCCACTAGAACCCCAGGTAACTACCACCTACCTGAATAGGGCTAGTTACTAATGAGCATCTCATTGATATTCAACTATTCCTCCTGTCTTCTCACTATCTACTCGCGGTATTCCGCATATTCGAGTCCACCGCAATTAGGAATATCATCTTTGGTGATAATAGACAGCCTTTTCTGTTACGCCTGTATTCTTTCCAAACATGATAACATAAATAAGAGAGAATATAAAGGCATTCACTGATATAGCCTATAAGGAGGGGACATCTGAGATCCTCCCTACGTAGGATTCTTAATAAAGCAGAAATTAGGGTGGTGGCATTCAAACCTACAAACTCACTCAGGCGGGACAAGCTCTGTAGGTTAAAGGACCCTGTAAGTGGACCCAATTAAACAAAATAATTTAATTTACAAAATACCTGCAATGACTGCGAGGTCAAGTCAAACTAGTAGGTCAGGGTAGTCAGATTGTCAGAACATAGAATTTAGTGGCTAAGGTAAGAATGGTTGACCCCGAGAAGATAAGCAATTTAGAAAAAAGCTCAGCAATTGCAATGCATTCATTAACACACAACCACACAATAGAGTGGGAAAGGGTTGAGATTCTAAGAAGTACTTTATGTAGGTGGAGAGCGAGAGAACTGATCACTGAATCCTGCCTGGTTCATCGAGTCTACACCCAACACATGCAATAAGAATGACTCATTACTCATACTTGAAATATGGAAATTACTACTACCAATCAAGTCAACCGATGAAGTGAAAGTAATGGAATTATATAAACGAAGTTAGAAAGTTGTGTGAGTAGTGACTTGATAGTGATTATGAGCAGTAATAAATTGTGCTCGAAAGGTGGTTATCAGTAAACATGATAGTATAACACTGTGAGACTTTGAAATAATAGAAAAGATTTGTAACTCAGGTGGATGATTTGCAATTAATAGTGTTCCCTGAGCTGGTTGGTTCAGCTGCGGAGCTTTCGTCGTCTTCCTAGACACGACATCTTCAGCGCAATATTTAGCATAAAGGGAAATGATTTAAATTACTTCATGAGTGATACAATTGCGTCTCCTGGTGACCAACCATCTTTACATATGTATTGACTATTTTCTATTGACTTGGATTTTAAACTTTCTGGTCACTTGATTTACTTTTTATTAGTTGATATATTTCATCTATATTAACGTGTTTGTTAATTACCAGGCTTCTAGGAATTCCCTGGCATTGCTTTAGGTGTTTCCTCTGTCTAAGATTTCGACAATATCCCAATCATCAAATTGATGTCCATAATTGTCTATATGCATTGATACTAAAGAATATATATATCATGTCTTTCCACAGCTGATTTGTGTTCTTGGATTCTTTAAAATCCAAGTCAATAGAAAATGGTCAATAACATATGTAAAGATGGTTGGTCACCAGGAGACGCAATTGTATCATCATTCATGGAGATTTTAAATCACTTGACTTTATGCTAAATACTGCGCTGAACATGTCGTCTAGAAAGACGACGAAAGCTCCGCAACTAAACCAACCAGCTCAGAGAACACTATTAATTGCCCATAATGGAATTCTTTTCAAACCCCTAATTTCTTTTTATCTTTTACATGACTATATATTATCGCGTTCGTTTTCCTCCAACTTTAAAAGAAAAATTATTTTCTCTCTTCGATATATTACTTTTTTTTAAAATTTAGGCGAAAAATTCGCTTGCGATCATTGTGAAAAGAAATTCAAGACAAAGTCATATTTAAGTGAACATATTAAAGTTATTCATGAAGGTAGGTGGGGAGTCTTTTGATATCTCTGTGTCTGATTGTCGGCTTTTTTGTTGGTTTTTTTCTATTTAGAAAAATTTATTCACCTCGTTTGTTTTGTGTTGTATTTTGTTTTACGAATGAAAAAAGGAGGATCGACTTTATTTATTTATTTGTTATTATTCCCTTGGGCTCTTAGTGGAACATAGGAGGCCGGAATAGCTCAGCAGGGAGAGCGTTAGACTGAAGATCTAAATGTCCCCGGTTCGATCCCGGGTTCCGGCATGTGGATGAGCATTTGCCTCCAAAGCCTCAGGATGGTCGGGGGTGGGTGCCTTGCGCTGCGGGTTGGCCACCCCTCCATACACCTCTTGAAATGCTCCCATATGACCAGGCGTCTTACATAGCCTCTCCTGAGGAAGTCCTACTCACTGCCTTCACGTGGCGGAGGTGTTTTTCACCAAAGTGAGAGGGCAAAAGCGGATGTCCGGCGCTCTTCACCGGGTTGACTGTCCATTGGATGACGGTCTAGGGGAGATGGCTAAACCCTGATTCCAAACCTCCAACGACTGGCGTATGAAGCTCACTGGAGCTCACCGGCAGACGTATGGACAAAGGGCTTGTTGGATGTCCTGGATGTCTGGCCCCATTCAAAAAGGCGTATGAACCGAACTCCGGTCACCGGCTGCCAATGGATAGTGGACTCCTTACTCCACTCCTACTGCCTTGTAGGTCACACTTGGCTGTGTAAAGGCTAGAGCTGCACTCTGAAACAAAAGGCCGAGCGATTCTGGGGACATCACTCGTACCCAATTCCCATGAAACTTCATGAACTCTCTTACAAATTGCCGTGCCTGGGCAGCGATGATTCGAGACGTTCATGAAGCGGGCTCATCCTCCCGTAGGAGATAGCCGAAGTAAAGTAAAAGTAAGTTAGTGGAACATAGGAATTCAAGAACACATTTCCACTCTCTTCTATTTTCTGCCGTCTTCTTCAACTGGGTCCATAATTGCCCATAATCTCCTATCTCCTCGTCGCTGCACACCATCTCCATGTCACCCACTCATTTCTTCTAATTTGGATTCCACCCGAGGCATTATCTGGCGTGTGATGTCATTCGACGACTTCCTCGATGTATGCCCTATCCATCTCCATTTTCTCTTACATGTTGGTTTATTAAGCAACCGGCTGTCGCCTGTTGGTTTTCTTCCCAGCCAGAGTTTTTTGGTGCTAATTCTTTCTGGTTGGCTATTTGAAACAACCTTCTTTACCCACCTGGGAAGCATCGCTTTAACCACAGGCGGACGGAACTGACGAAGATATCAAAGCAGCGAGGATCGGGAAAGTAAGACAAGCTTTCATTACTGAAGTCTGTGTGGAGGTCAACAGCACCACTCATCATCAAAAATAAGATCCGAATTTTCAACTCCACTGTGAAATCAGTGCTACTATACGGATCAGAGACTTGGCCAGCGCGTCATAAAGAGCACTGTGAACAAACTACAGACCTTCATTAACAGTTGTCTTTTCTCAATACTCAAAATCAGATAGCCGGCCAGAAAAGATCAGCAACAGACAAGGATCTCTGGCGAACCAACCAGGAGCCGATTGTGCAACAAATAAGCAGGAAGTAATAGATGTGGATTGGCCATACGCTGAGGAAACCATCAAGTGACATCACTAGACAAGCCAGTGCTCGAGTGGAACCCGAAAGGGAAGCGGCGAGTTGGTCGTCAGAATCAGGGTGACTTGGAGGAGGTGATGTGAAGAGGAGATGAAAGCATGTGGGCAGACCTGGAGCCAGGTGAAAACTCTGGCAGAGAACCGAACGCAATGGAGACGTGGGCGGCTGAAGCCCTATGTTCCTCTAGGAACTAAAGGAAATAATTATAATAATAATTTGATCATGAGTATGGATTGAAGGAAACTGTTGATAAAATTCTGCAGTAGCCTGTTGGAAATTCTTTTTCGCGACACGTTGATCATGTTTCTGACCCGTATAAAAGAACTGACGTTAGTCGCTTATAATTCCTATTTTGTGTAAGTTGAAAAAATCTCAGCAACTGGATATGTTATGGCCGCCAGCCTAATTGTTGTCAAAGCTACAGGACCCCAGGAAAGGCAATACTGGCCTTCATTAATCTGGAATCTGTTGCACTCAGCATAGCTTACCGAAATTCGGGTTTTCAACACGAATGTCAAGTTCCTCTATATTATGGTTCAAATAATAATAGAAGAACTTCCCGCTTCACTTATTTTGGAAGTTCCATCACCCAGTGCCAACGGGTTGATCTCTGACGAAATCTCAGCACGGATACAGAGGGCTAGTTTCGCATATACCAGTTTACACCGTCTCTGGCGTATGTGTGATATCCGACTGGCTGGCTATCGACCAAAGGGCTGGTGTACTGCTCATCAGTCCGCTCCATCCTCCTTTATGGCTGGCTGTGAGACCTGGCCACTGGGAGTGGAAGACATGAAAAGGCCGGCTAGTTGTCTTTGATCATACGTGCCTGCGTTCTATCTCCCATGTGAGGTAGGTATAATAAGCTGAGCAATATTGAGGTTAGGCATCGAGTGCTAGGTAAACGGGGGAAATCTATCGACGAGGTTGTGGAGTTACATAGACTGAGGTGTTTAGGACTTGTGTTACGTATGCCTAGTTATCGCCTTCCTGGACAGACGGGCAATATTAGCTGACATATGGTCAGGCTGGAAAAGAGCTGGTGGTGGTCAAACCGAAACATGGCCTCATCAGTCATTGAAATCCACAACAGTTAGTCTAAGCCAGCCACCATGTGGGATGATGTAGACTTTTTGATTGGATTCCTCGAGACGGTGAAATTCAATCAATGGCTGGAAACAATTTGTGATATGGCTCAAACTCATAGTTCGCAATGGTTAGTGCAGATGCATCCACTCCTTGTGACTTGTAATTTCCAATGAAACTATATTGTTCTTCGTTATAGCTATTCCTTTCGTCTCATATTGCCGTCTACTGGCCCCATTTTGCATTTCTTCTACTTTGTTTCTTTTGCTTTGTGTGCTACATGGGGGTAGTGTGTCGACTTGAAATGCTACATATTGGTGCAAAGTTCTATGTCGTAAACAGACAGACAGACACAGACATTATGGTATAAAAGCTTGGCGTGTCACCAAAAGCATTTCCAACAGCCTGTTGCAAACTTTCATCAACACCTACGCTTTTCGCTTAGTACTGAAGATCAGGTAGATTGCAGGTCAGAAAGGGGTCGTTGACTAGTAGTAGTGACATTACACTTCAGGCCTTTAAGCGGAAGCTGAGCTGGAAACGACGAATGATGCGTCAGTTCGAGGGTGATGACATTTAGGAGATAGGTGTAAGGAAGGAGATGGTGACAGCTTATGGCCAGTTAAGGAGAACATTGAGGTTACATGTCAATTTATTTTTTCTTTAATTTTAGATTTTGATATTTTCTGTACAATGTTTCATCCCTCCCTTTGTGTGTGTGTGTGTTTTCTCTGATTTTCATTTTTTTTGTTCTACCCAGGCATTTTAATCCAATGTGATGAATGTGGTAGTGGTTTCAAGTCAACTAGTTCGCTTAAAAATCATATTAATCTAGTACATAAAGGTAAGTGAGTTGTGTTTTTGTTTCCACATTCTTTACTGTCTTATTTTATTTTTATTTTTTATTTCCAGCTTGATTCCACACTGTATTTTCGGTACAAGTATGGAATTTTCAGCATGGATATCGGTAGCCCAAATTTTGCAGGCCAACCATAGATATCAGATGTGCGTCGGTGCGGGCTCGAACCCCGGACCATGTGCATGGTCGGCGAGAGTCCTAACCAATGTGCCACCGACGTACACTGCCTGTTTCGCTCTCTCTCTCTCTCTCCGCTTACTGCCTGACGAATCAGCGTATTACTTTGGTACAGATTTGTATGAATTAGCTTCATTTGAAACATTTCAAGAAAGAGTAAATGAAATAAGAGAAGAAGCAAATAGTGTAATGTGAAGAGTAAAGAAGGTATACGCGGTCTTCTAAGTATCCTGAGAAGGTATATCCGTTCTTCCTAATATGGCTTAGAACGTGTTGTTGAAAACTTAACAAATCGGTTCCACGTTTTTAACTATTTTTTCCTTCCACGTTCCCCAGTGGAACATAGGGCTTCAAGCTAGTGGCTTGAAGTTTCTGTAGCAGTGTTTTTATTTTACAGGATGGGGTTGCTAGCCTCATGCCCAACCTCTCCAGTCTCACTACTGGCTTAGCAAGGTAAAGAAGAAAGAAAGAAAGCGATTGATTCAGAACTACTCCTCTTATATAGATAGTCTTTCTCAATTCTACATTCAACCGGGAATTTGTATTGAAATCTTTCTTAACCTCTTGCAGGTCTTGGGTTTCAGTGTCATTATTGTAACAAGGTGTTTACGCAGAGGCATACCTTGATCATACACGAAGAATGCGTTCATAAAGGTAAATTACATAGTCAATATATGTATTATATGTGATTTCTTCATGAATATATGTTCTTATTTGTTATTACATGTAGTCTTGTTTCATTGTAATATTGTAGTGTTACACAACAAGACGCACATTCACACACACACACACTTCATGGCTCATTTCGCATATTGAAACATCGTTAAGACCAGCTGTATTTTATATTTATTTTATTATAGCCCAACTTTAGGGCTTAAGGAAGTGGGTGGGCGGTTATTACTCTCGGCCGCCCACACCGTTGAAGTTGACTTCTTCTTCTTCTTGAAGTCCATGAAACAGAAATGTCATTAAACTTAGAAAGCTCTTGGGGACAAGTGCTTTATGCCGGTCATATACGGCTTTCTTTAAGTGGGTTGAGATCTTACCAGCGACTACTGTTCGCTGAATAGTACACTTTTCGGGGTTGACCTTTTCTAACCCCTCCCCCCCCAGAGCAAAGAGGAAGCATAACTAACTGGCTTACTGATCAACTCAGGGGAACGACTTACTGTTACGACTTCGCCTACATACCTCCAACATACACTGTAATGGTAACTGCTATCCGAATGACTTTACTGGAAGGGTGGGATCTACAGGAACATTAGTTCCAGCTAGTGTAGCTTTTTGAGTCATTGCAATATGCAAACCGGACCAACACATCAACGGAGTAACTACCGGTCAAGCTACTTCAGCCTAGGCAACTGAGGGTGGGTAGTATCACGAATGCACAATATATCTATAGTTGATGGTCTTCTGGCAATTGAAATAAAAGAAAAAAAAACATTCGTAGACCACATACATGTCAATGGATTGAATGGTGAACTATACTCATCGTGTTGTATGGTTGTACAAATTGGATTCTTGGGTATTGCAGTGGCATATTTTGCTTCATAGAGATGTGTGTAGTATAACAGTCTATCTAATAATACACCTTAGTATTCTACTGAAACTGAATGTTTTTCCTACAAGCTTCGAAATACTAAATTTCTGTAGACGACTTAAGGAAAGCAATCGACGAGGCTGTGAAGTTACACCGATGGAGATAGTTAAGACATGTGTTACGCATGCCTAGTTAGCTATCGCCTTCCTCGACAGGCAGTGTCAGCTGAATAACATAGGATGGATCATTAATTCCATATTAGTTTGTTTATTAGGTGTGTCACACAATGAGTGAAATAGCAGTATTATTTATTGGATGACACAGTTTCGAACAAAATTTATTGTGGTTCATAATCATATCATCAATTATAATCACACAACTTCGAAACTTGAGTTTTATGGTTTTCTTTGTCCCCTCCTGTTTGTCGTCATTGGGGTAGTAGAATTTTCCAGATGTCTGCGACAAGTGTTGAATCATTCCTATCACACGTGTTGGTTTGCAGTTGATTCGATAAATAAAGCTTCTGTTATCAATCTCTCCTCCACCTTGCTGTTACATTAGATTTCAAAACTGTCATCCTATCCCATCCTCTATTGTATGGTTGTGTGTGACTGCATGTAGTGCTATAGCTGAACTATTCTCTAGATTTCTCATCTTATTTGGGTCAACCAATCTAGATTTCGCTAGGGTTTTATGCTCGGCTAGTCTGACTCAGTAACCCTGTTCTACTACTTTGACCCATCTATGTATTTGACCTGACAATCATTGCAAGCAGGCAGGGTATTAGATAAACTAAATTGTTTTGTTTTAAAAAGCTCCACAGGATTGATCCTTTAACCGACAAAACTTGTTTCTAATTGAGTTTGTGGGTGGCTCGAATGCCAGCCACTTTTATTTCTGCCTGCCTTGTTAAGAATTCTGCGTAAGGTGGTTTCCGAGGTTCCTTCTTTGTATGGAATTACTACTGATGATTTAGATTCCTTATTGTTGGTGTCGTCATTAATAATATTATTATTATTGTCACTATTATTATTATTATTATTATTGTTATTATTATTATTATTATTACTATCACTATTATCATTATATATTTTATTTTTACATTTCCCTCATACGTTTTGATTAATTTTATCAGGTTAATTGTTAAGTTTCAAAGCTTCTCTCATTTGCCTCACTTCCTGTCTCAAATTTCCATTGATACTGCTTAGTTTTTGTGCTCTGTCACTTAAACATTTCAGCAATCTTATTTTTACTGACATAGGATGGGCTGATCGGAAGTCCAAATATCTGTTTGAATGTGTCAGTGGGTTTCCTGTAAAAACACTAGTGTGATTACAATTGATATGATTATGAGCCACAATAAATTTTGTTCGAAACGTCATCCAGTAAATACTAATACTGTTTCACTGTGGGATACATTTAATAAACAAACTAATGTGTTCAGAAGACTGTATTTTTTTCTCAGCGTTTTCACGTCAAAGGAATATATATTTCATATGTAGACTCTAAACTGACGAGATTTCCTTGGCGATAAGTCAGTCTCTACGTTGCTAAAGGCAATACCGGGTGACCTTCATTATTACATCTATAATGAAATCAAGCAAATTGTCACGTCTTCGAGTAGATACCCTGCAATGGTTTCTGAATTACGTCAAAGTAATACTGGACAGCTGTTTCGTCCAATTTTGGTAGCAGTTGGAATTCATGAGTCTTTAGATCGTTCCCGGGTGGTTGAATGGTCTACAAGCTTGCCTTGTAACGGAAAGTCATGGGTCAGAAGTCCAAATATCTGTTTGAATGTGTGGGTTTTCTGTAAACACTAGTATGTTTAACTTCCCATCTTCTTTCCTTTTTACGTTGCAATCTAACATTGGAAGTTCCCCTTCCTGACATTCCAATTCATCATAAGTGAATTGAATTGCCTCCACCTTTGAGAGAGGACAAAGAAAACTATAAAATTCAAGTTTCGAAGTCGTGTGATTATAATTGAGGATATGATTATGAACAGTAATAAATTGTGTTCGAAACTGTGTCATCCAGTAAATAATACTGTTTCACTCTCTGTGTGATACATCTAATAAACAAACATTTAGGAAGGTAATAAGAGATATATTCTAGAGAAAGAAAGGAGGTTAACAAAATCTGATGTAAATAAAATGGTGGGAAGATGAGGCAGTAACTCATTGAAGAAGACATTGCGAAGTGGTCGCGCTATGTCGTGAATTGACAGAAGTTAGAATTCAAGGACCATTGGATCGGGTCCCAGTGGCTCAATGGTCTACGAGCTCGCCTTGTAACCAGAAGGTCCTGGGTTCGAATCCCGGTGGGTGCGTACTGCTGAAGAGTCCTAACCTAGGACGAAACAGCTGTCCAGTACTCCCTGATTGGTTTTCCAGTGGTTCTCTAACTGATGTCAGCTCTTGATTAAATCCTCCATGTAAATAAAATGGACAACTTCCCTGCCTCCCCCTCCCCCAAATGCATTAAACGCATATTTTTTTTAGAACATGACATTTTCTTTTGTAGACAATTTTATCTGTCTTGATTGTTTGCTTTATTCTGTCATTCCTTGCATTCCAATTAGAAGACACGGTTACAAGCTTTAAAGTCTCGCTGACATGATGGTATTGTGTTATTTTATGGGATAGATAGATAGATTGGGGCTGATAGCGTCACCACGAACCTTGCCTCTTTTCTGGGTTTTTTAAAAAAATAATTTTTTTATTCATTCCGTTCCCAGTGAAACACAGGGCTTCAAGCTACAGTCTTGAAGTTTCCGTAGCAATGGTGTTTATTTTTACAGGATGGGGTTGCTAGTTTCATGCCCTCCCCCCAATCTTCTTTCTCTACCAGTCTTATTACTGGTTTAGCGAGGTAAAGCAATAAGTCATTGTCCAGGGGTCGAACCCCCAAACCACATCGAGCGTGGTTGGCGAGCATTCAATCTACCGCTGTGCCACCGACACATTTTTCTAGGTATACTACTACTACTACTACTGGATAAACGTAGTTTAGGAGTGTTTTCTGCTGGAAATCTGATCCGGATCTCTTGCATCGTTGGCAAGGTTTGTATCATTGGACGACCGACACTGAATTTTTCCTTACACTATTTCTTTAGATGGTATTTTTGAAATGTTATTCTATATTTTGTAATCATTATATTTTGGAGTTGATTGACACTAGTCCTTCTAGGATATTCAACATGGCATCACTTAATTTTGTAGTCCAAAAGTTCATTCATTTTATTCGATGATTGGTTTTCTACATGCTGACATTCAATAAATGAAGATTACAAGAAGAAAAAGGATGGAAGTAGAAGAAGAAGAAGAAGGAGAACAACTGTTTTATTGTCGAACTCAATCAATCACTCCCGGAGCTAGTCTTTCCTGTACACTAAGATATATGAGGCACACTTATCGCTTGAGCACTAATAATAGTTTTCCATCCAACTGTTCAGATTGAATTAATTAAAATGAAACTCGAACCCTTGATCTATTTGATTGAAAGGTAACTACGCTTAAACTAATGAGAAACAGAAAAAGAAAGATTACGGATACGGAAGGCAAGTTTAGTGTTTCCCAGCTTACTCCGTCTTCCTCTCTCACTCTAGCATAGAGACGTGATATCCAGTTGGCGGCTATCGATTAAAGGATGTGTGTACTGCACAGTGTGTAGCAGTTCTTTCTGTCCTCCAATATGTCTGTGAGTGTCACATGGACATTGAAAGTGGAAGATATGAAAATCTTGGTTAGCTGTCTTTGATCATAAATGTCTACGTTGTATCTCCTGTGTTAGGTGGCATATAATAGGATGAGGTTAGGCGTCGAGTTGTAAAGGCGAATCGATTGAGATGGTTACGACAGGTGCTAATCATGCCTGCCTAGCTATCACCTACCTCGACGGACAATGTTAGCTGAGCAGGTTAGAAAAGAGAAAGCTAGTGGTGGTGGTGGTGGTGGTTAAACCGAAACATGGTTTCATCAGTCAATGAAATTCACAATAGTTAGTTTAAGCCACCTTGCCAGCCACATAGGGAGGTGTAAACTTCCTGACTGGCTGATTGAGGTCCTGGGGATGGTAAGAACCAATGAAGCCTGGAGATAATGGGTGATATGGCTCAAAATCGTTGCCAGTAGCTGGCTCAGATGCATTTGCTGCTCTTTTTAATTTATTACATCCAATAAAACTCTTCTATTGTTCTTCCACATTACACTTGTGTTTGTTATCTCTCTTTTGACTCTTTTCTTACTCTCTTCTCTTGTTTTGTATGCTACCTGTAGGGAGATTGGGAACTCGAACTGTTGCAGAGATGTGCAACGTTTCCATTGTTGAAACCAGTCAGTCACAAGAGTAGAAGTTAGAATTCATGGGCTGGCTACTGAATCGGGTCCCACTGGCTGGCTGAGTGGTATACGAGCCAGCCTGCCTTGTAACCAACCGTAAGGTCCTGAGTTCGAACCCTCTAGTGGTTAGTGCGTGCTGGTGATGATTCCCAAACGAAGGGGATGAAACAGCTGACTGTCCAGTACTCCCTATGACTGGCTTTCAATGGTTCTCTAACTGATGGTATCGATCTGTGATCAACTCTTAAAAACAAATATCGACCTTAGGAACCACCTATAGAGTAAATGTGTTTCAATTTTATGCTTTCAGTTTTGTTTGTTCTGCTTTTTCTCCTTAAAAAGAGATGAATAATTTGATTGTATAATGATTTTATTATTATTTTTTCTTAAACATTTCTTTCATCAGGCATAAAAATATCTTGTGATCATTGTAATAAGAAATTTGCATCAAGATGGTATTTAAAAGAACATATTACAATTGTTCATGAAGGTTAGTCTCATGACAACTTTTTTTCCTTTTATTTTGATCTAATTCATTACACAAATTACGCTTTTCATTTTACATGAAAAAGAAGTGAGATGTCAATTTTTGACTACAATGTGTTAAATTAACTCGATCTTCCAGCGTTTCAATCACTACTTAAACGTGAATGGTAGTACCAACTACTCATATCACTTAATTAGCAGTAGTATGTGACACTGTACTGTTTAATTTTATGCACACACACACACACACACTTTATTATTAAGTGCATAGGTTCATGGGAGAGATTACGCCACATACTGATTTGCGAAACTTTCATTGTCGTCCTAGACAACAACTTCTTCAGCAAAAATCTTAATATGAAGTTGGTATTAGCCATTCGCGGATGATTTATGTTTGATATCCCACAAAATCGAAGACTTACAAGTGAAAACCGACCGACAAACTGGTCGAAGAAGCAGTCGGCGAAGACAGGACTCCATGTGAACATAGACAAGACGGAAGTTATGAAAATAACCCACCAACCAACAACAACAGCAATAACAACATCCAGCGTCAATCACCATCAACGAGAGGAATTTGAAAGAAGTTAGTTACTTCATTCACTTATCTACCTAGAGAGCATAGTCTCAACTACAGGATGTCAGAACGGACGAGGATGTCAAATCGAGCGAGAAACACATTCACTCGTCAACCTGAAACCAATCTGAAAATCTTCGTCACTCAGCCAGCATCAACAACAAAATTCGGTCGGATTCAATTCAGTACAAACAACATCAAGTCAGTCAGTTCTTCTATACGGAACGGATCAGAAACTTGGCGGGCGGGTCACAAAGAATTATTCCAAAAGCCTGCAGCATGCAGACCTTTATCAACAACAACTGTCTTCGCTGCATCTATCCTGAAGATCAATCAGATGGCCGGGCCGGAAAGAATCACCAACTATTGGAAACTATGGGGACAAACAAAACAAGAACCAATCAATCGCCCAACAAATATGCAAGCGAAAGTGGAGATGGATTGGACACTCGCTGAGGAGGCTGGGTCGCTGGCTGACATCGCATACGCATCAGGCCATTCCTCGAGTGGAACCCAACAGAATGGGAAGTGGCGAGTGAGATGTCAGAGCAAAGGTGGGTGACATGGAGGAAATCGTGTGAAGAGTTGAGGAGTTGAAACAGTATGGACTAACATGGATGGAGGTGAAAAGTATAGCAGAAGACAGGAGCAAGTGGAGACGTGCAGTTGAAGCCTTATGTTGCACTAGGAACCCAAGGGAACAATAATAATAATACAATACTATAATATTACAGGCATACTTAAAGACACTCATTAAGAGAGAAGCTAGACATAGGGGAGATCACACTACATGCTGATTTGAATTATGAATCTTCTTTAATAACAATAATAATAATAATAATTTTCGCTTTATTTCAAAAACAGTACTAATGATACAGCAAGGAATTTTCAGCATTCAGTACAATATCGCATCTAATTTACTCAAAAACGACAAAAAATAAACACTACATAATAATAATAACAAAACTTGTTATAGCAGCTATGTAGCAATTACAGTATGCCATACGGTGAAAAATATGCATAAAGTATTAAGTTGTGGTGATAATAGTAATAACAACTAAGATAAAATCGCTACGTTATAATTAAACGATAGAAAGGGTGATACCATAAAATAATAGGAATATGAACGAACGATGAAAGGGTCGATTCACTTTGCTAACTTATATGTTTCACGTCTAACAGTGTCTTCATCACATAAAATACGGGCTAAATAGGGTATTGCAGAATTTTTTTTACTTAGTGGTTCGAGCATGTAACCTCTTATATTGACTTCTCGTCCTACCTGACGAGATACAAGGGGATAGTCGTGAATAAAGGGGCTGGGGTGCAGAGGGCCTGACAGTATGGCCTTTGCCCATTTTGTACAGGAATTTATGTGTCTCTCGATTATAATATTGGCAAGCTCAAGCAGCGGCATACCACAAGCCCTTCTTACAGCATTTAATATCCTTCGTAATATGATATAGTCTTTTTTGAGAAGCCCAGGAAGGATTAATTGAAAGCAATAGAGTACAATAGATAAAATACAGGAGTTTACAAATTGCAGAAGTAAAGGTTGGTTGATACCTGATTGTCTTGACTTTTTAATGTAGAAGGTAAGACGAAACATTTTCTTAGGGATTGATGAGATTTGGGATGACCATGAAAGGTTGAGGGGAAAGAACTAATCCAAGGTATTTTTAATACTTGACTTGGTTTCAATTTCAGTGCCATCTATGCTACAGGCATCATGGGAAGTAACTACTTCATGTAAGTCACGTCGATGCTTGAAAGTAAAGTCAACTGCCTGACATTTGGAAGGATTTAACATAAGACCATTTGACTTGCTGATTTCCAACAGAAAGCTATTAAGTTTGTAGCAGTCAAACTCGGAAGTGATACAGTCAGATCATCCGCATATTTGACAAAGTTAGTTTCGTTTATAAATGAGGCAGGTCGTGTAAGAAGAAAGAAAAAAGAAAAGGAGAGAGGACGGCACCTTGAGGAACACCGGCTTTTGTAAGCGAAACAGAAGAAGATTTGCCATTATATACAGTATACTGCATTCATAGCTATTCATAGACTTAAGCCCCCCTTGTGTATTCAAAAACAGTTTGTCATTACTCTTAACCTACCTTGGTAATCCTTATTTGATTGGATTACCAAACGTTTGTGTTAATTATTCTTAATTCCGTTTTCTCTCACTTTGTTTAATTTAACCTTTCTATATATATTGACTTGACAAGTAAATGTGTGATCAGATTGTTCGAAATGTATAGCGCTAATACATCACATTTTTCAGACAGTCTCCGTCTTCTAATAACGCTATCAAAATACTGCATTCTGTCAGAAAAATAAGAATGCAACCAACTCTTAGCCCAGGATCCTTGTTGTGAATATGTTCTTATTTAGTCGGGTTCGGAAGTTTCACTGTCTTCCTAGACAACTTCTTCAGCGAAAATTTTAATATGAAGTTGGCATTAGTAATTCTCTCTATTTCTTTAGTGCTCATTCATCATCTTCTTCGATAAGCAATGTTAAGAGTGATGTAGGATTAGATTGAAAAAAAACGAAGAGTTGGACGTGGTCTTGATTTCCACGAATGTTAGTTTGAATTAATTTAAGGCAATGTAGACTGCTTAGGTGCGATTGTTGAAACTCTAAGAAGCAACGTCTGGAGACTGTTGGCGACAGCATGGCTACAAAATCTTCTCCATCCAGAATGTGAAGATTGAAATGATTCTACTTAAAGTGTAAACGGTATCTAGTGGGATGAATCAATTGGACAATGACGGGATAAAAACAAAATAATTGAGCAAGGCATATCCTTCTCGATAATTTCATCCTCTGGCTCTGCAATTTTATATATATATATATGCTGGGTTCACAGAGTAAGAGCAATCTGTCCGGATTTATGTCTTGATGAGGAACTTATAATAATATTTAACGTTTGCTGAGTGTAAACATCTATCCAGAAAAATTTATTGGTAAGAATATGAGTTTAAAATCAGGGCAGCCCAAGGTAAAAAAAGTTGGCAAAGTTAAACTTCAGACACCACTAACAACCAATCAGCAAACGACCTTGAACGAACCAATTACATTAAAGAGGCATATATGATGAATGGAAATGTATATTTATAGAAAAAAGCACAAAATAGAGAATGAAAAAGTTACATGGGATATCTTTCTCGAACATGTGAGACAAACATCTCCCAGTTTAGCATGGGACTGTCAGTGCTTTTCCATCTGCTATCCTTTCGACGAATCTCTTTCGGAGGGAGGTGTCATACAAACCTATTACCCAAATATTGTTCGCTGGCTGGCGACCACGGTTGTATTTCTTTTTTACCAGCACTGTTTCACCGACACGCACGATAACGTCTTCCCCACCCAGCAAACAAGTGATTTCCCTCATTTGCCATGATGCGATGTCTCTGCAATGCTGGTACCACTGAACTGTTGAGACATAGCTATTCTCCATCTCGGCAGCTGCTGCTCTCACAGCCTGTTCCAACACCCATTAGTTGCAGATATACAAAATCTGGGTTAGGGAGAGATGCGACCTAGCGAAAGTAAGTTCCTACGAAATATTAAAATTATCAGCTTACCCTCTCCAGATGAACAAACCCATCAGTCCACTTGGTATAGCTTTTTAAAGTAATGATACCACCACACAAACAAATTCGCTCTTTCCGGATCAACTCAAATCCAGGAAATACTGGAAAACACTAACCTCCTCGAATTGCAACTGTAGCCTTGTAAGGTCACTCATTAGAAATGAATCAAGCGCTATACAACATTGAACTGTGTTCGTGAACCTCATTGGATAATTCGACATCGTTCGTGAATCTCATTGGATAATTCGCTGATTGGTAGTTAGTGGTGTCGAAAGTTTAACTTCGCCAAAAAGTTCTTACAAATTCAGTTCCTCGGGGATAAAATCAGCGAGATACTAACACAGCGCTGAAGGAATACGGCGGTGAAAACAGCATTCCCCCATTTTGCATTCGGGAGTAAAACATAAACTGCCATATTTCGCCTATTCCAAATGTGCTCCTGTGGAGCCAGTTAGCTGCTTATGACGAACAATTAGACGCGTTTCTTGTCGGATTTCCGAATATCACCCTGTATCGTGGTTGGTTAAGTAAAAGACAAGCAAAATACACTCGTAGCGCTATTCTATCTCATCTTGTAGATACAGATTGATGTCAAAAAGGCTGCTTTCAAAGTCATTTACCGCATACCAGCTGATATCAATTTCTTTACTTCGGCTATCCCTACGGGAGGATGAGCCGGCTTCATGAACCATGAAGTTTCATGGAATTAGGTACGAGTGATGTCCCCAGCATCGCTCGGCCTTTGTTTGAGAGTGCAGCTCTAGCCTTTACACAACCAAGTGTGACCTACAAGGTAGTAGGAGTGGAGTAGGGAGTCCATTATCCATTGGCAGCCGGTGACCGGAGTCCGGTTCATTCGCCTTTTTGAATGGGGCCAGTCATCCAGGGCATCCAATAAGCCCTTTGTCCATACGTCTGCGGTGAGCTCCGGTGAGCTTCATACGCCAGTCGTTGGAGGTTTGGAATCAGGTTAGCATCTCCCTAGACTGTCATCCATGGACAGTCAACCGGTGAAGAGCGCCGGGCATCCGCTTTGCCCTCTCACTTCGGTGAAAAACCTCCGCCACGTGAAGGCAGTGAGTAGGACTTCCTCAGGAGAGCTATGTAAGACTCCGTCATATGGGAGCATTTCAAGAGGTGTATGGAGGGTGGCCAACCGCAGCGCAAGACACCCCGACCATCCTGAGGCTTTGGAGGCGCCTAAAGAGTTCGTTTACTAAATATTGCTGAGGCTGGCCTCTTCTACCAGTTTGTTGCTTTTCGCCTGTAAGTTTTCGTGTTCATGTAACGTTAAACATAAATCATCCACTGGCGAAATCCAGATCTTCTCGAGTCTTCTTATCGATGCTTCAGCGTATTCCTCTTGTCGTCTTGCTCCCCACTCGCGGAGTTCTTCATAATTCTGTCCATCACAATTAAGAATATCCTTACTCCTGTATTCACTTCGAACGTCAGTCTGAGTTTTCTGTTGTGGATCACCTGACATACGGCGTTGTCATGTAGCTACTTGTTCATGTTTATGCCTATTTTTTATTATAAAAAATGACTCTTATCTGATTGGTCGTTCAAGGTGTTATTTTGATTGGATCGTTCGCTTGCTTAGTCGCTATACACTTTGTGTCTTGGTCGTCTTATAATGAGTGTGTTTAAGTATGCATAAATACATACTCCTTAACCTTTTGCTTTTTTTCTGTTTGTTATTTCTACTTTTCTTCATCTTATTCTTCGTCATCGTTTCATTCATTATTTGTAGGTAATTTATTAAAATGTGAATTATGCGGCCGATCATTCAATTCGCATTGTGCACTACGTTATCATTCAAATATTGTTCATAAAGGTATGTGCTGTGGTGTTGTAGAATGATTCGTTTTTATTCTATTTCATTTTATTTATTTATTCATTTTTGTGTAGATAAAATCACGTGGAAAACACAAAGATTTGAGCAGTACAGACTCATATACATATGCATGAATTATTACAACAGACAATAACAATCAGTTTTCAAGGGATGGTTTGTTGGGATTTGATTGGTTTCAGGATTGGCAGAAGTTAGAATTCAAGGACCATTGGATCGGGTCCCAGTGGCTTAATGGTATACGAGCTAGCTCGCCTTGTAACCGGTAGGTCCTGGGTTCAAATCCCGGTGGGTGCGTACTGATGAGGAGTCACGAACTAGGACGAAACAGCTGTCCAGTACTCCCAGTTGGTTTTCCAATGGTTCTCTAACTAATGTCAGCTCATGATGAAATCCTGAAACAATCAGTTTTCTTGTGTGTATATGTATGTATGTGTGTGAGCGTGTTAAAGTTTGACAATGAGTGGAAATATTAAAGTGCGATAATAGCATAGTATAGTATAGTGTATAGGATTATGAGTCACAAACAGGTGCGAAACCCATGCTGTGGGCGTGTTCTGATGATGATTCCCCAAAACTAGGATGAAACAGCTGTCGAGTTATCCCAGTGATGGTTTTCAATGGTTCTTTAACCGTGATAATATCAATCCGTGGTCAAACTTGAAAAAAAACAAATCGGCCAAGTTAAAAGTTTAAGCACCACTAACTGACTATCAGTGGAGTGGGACCGCACCAATGACCTTGAAATGCTCACTGAGCAAATTAGTGAAACCTGGCCAATAAATAATGTTGTCATCATCGAAATACAATATGCTCATCGAAGTATTATGTTATTAAATGGAATATCTGGGAAGTTTCAGCTTAGGTTTGAGAAAGATTAAGTTACGGTTTAAGCCCAAGGACAAGTTAGGGTTTTTGTTAGATTTAGAAGACCTAAATAATTACACGCATAGAATGTGGTTAAATTACTCTGTACTTGTGCACTGTGATGGTAGAGTATAATTCCATTGTGGGTAGGATTTATTTCGATAAAGTCTCACAGTGTTGTTATACAGTAATATTAACTGATGACCACGTATCACACTGAGACTATATCAAAATAAATTCTACTCACAAGGGAATTATACTCGGTTGATGCTGAAATCTAAAGCTGAGAGCTATTTTTCTATCACATGTGATAGGGAGGTAGGTATCCTCTATAACATTTTTCTACAGTTTTATGCATGTATTCCATGCACAAAAATACCTCCTTCACTTAAACGGTGCGTTCGAAGTTATTCGCTAATTGGTAGTTAGTGATGCTTAAAGTTTGTTTAACTTTGCCAAGAAATCTAATCCTTACAAACTAACTCTTGAAAATTAATCTAATCCTCGGTAGTCATTTGTTACAGAATTCAGTTTACTGGAGCTCTAGTGAGAGAAGTCGTGACCAGTGTGAGATCCATCAAATCAAAAGTGGTAGGATGGATTTCCTGCTGATGATGATATTGGTTGGATGTGTCGTGCTAAAAATCACAAATTGGTAGAAGTTAAAAAATTCATGCATTGACCATTGAATTTGGTCCCAGTGGCTGGCTGAGAATGATATACGACCTTGTGTTGTAACCGGAAGGTAGGTACTGGGTTCGAACCCTATGGTGTGGTTGCGTAGTGTCGGTGGTCCCCGAACTAGGGGGATGAAACAGCTGGTCATCAGTACTCCCACAGTGGTTTTCAATGGTTCTCTAACTGTTGAAAAACCAAACTGATTAGATATGAGAATGAGTAATTAAATAAATAAATAACTAAAGGTCAACCTAGAGTTCAATAAACATATGTGAAATAAACGGGAGGAAATTAAAGTACATTTGGAAATGTGAATACTAATATGGTGGAGACGTAGGATGAGTGAAATGTAGTGTTAAAGTAGTAGACCAGATAAAATGTTAGAATATGCCATAACATAAAGTGAAATCGAATAAGACAAAAATAGAACATGGAAAAAAAGTATAACAAGGTTTTTTTGTTTGTGAATTACATAGCAAAAGCAAGACCCATTGGAGGTAACAAACTGTTTTTGTACACAAAGTTCTGGCTTTATATTATGTATTGCCAAAGCCTCTACAATATAAAGCAAATGCACTCGTGTCCCTTTCTGTAAACTTTGTAGACTATATTAAACGATATGTGTGTAAAACCTGGGCACTGTGGTAGTAAGTAATTCCATATTAGTTTGTTTATTAGATGTATCACACAGTATCACAATATACCACCTCTAAACACACTATGAATTGTTGGCATTAGATGGTTGGAAGCAATTATCAGCAGGAGGCCCTTGAAGCTAGGTTTCGTGCTAGTTGGCGCTCATCAGCCAGCAAGGAGTATTTGCAACCACCTTGAAAGAAATCATATCCCTCCTGTGGTTTGAACCCGTATCACCCAGTGCTGTCGTCAGAGTCACGTTACCACTGAGATACTAGGTCTTGCAATTGACCGCCTGTAGGAATGTATTACTGACGAGTACCAACTGGTAGGGAACCTTGGTCCAAAGCTTCCTGCCAATGATTGTCTCTAACCATCTAATACCAACAATTCATAGTGCACCGTGATCACGAGCCACCTAGAATGCTGGGTGCATTGTGAACTTGACTGATAGAATTCAGTCTGCACCAAAAAACAAAGGACTAGTCACATTACACTGGTTACTGACTAGTGTCCAATCAAAAATATGCAGGAGAGAAATGGAGATAGATTAGACATACGCTGAGGAGGCCGTTGACTGGATATCACTCCCCAGGCCTTAGAGTGGAAACTGATTGAGAAACGAAGGGGTGAGTTCTGTGTGTGTGTGTCCAAGGGTAACATGCACGAGATTCTTGAGGAGGAGGTAATAGTTTATGGACAATCGTGGAGCCAACATAAAGAGAATACAGAATGGAATGGAGGTGTGCTGTCGAAAACCTATGTGCTGCCATTGGGGGAATACCTAAGGAAATAATTATAAATAAAGGAACCTGAGGTGGCATTTATCAAACACGGAACTCACCGGTTGAATTCAAGTATTGGTTTGTAAGGATTTGGTTGATCGGTTACAGGATTTCATCATGAGCTGACATTGGTTAGAGAACCATTGGAAAACCACCTGCGAGTACCGGACAGCTGTTTCGTCCTAGGTTGGGACTCTTCACCAGCACATACCCGCACTGCGGGGTTCGAACCCAGGACCTTCTGGTTACAAGGCTCTAGTGAGCTCGTAGACCATCAAGCCACTGGGAGCCGATCCAATGACTCATGAATTCTAACTTTTGCCAATTCACGACATGGCGCAACCGCTAGCCAATGTCTTCGACGAGTCCTGGACTCGAACCCCGGTGATTGTGTACTGATGAAAAGTCATAAACTAGGACGAAACAGCTGTCCAGTACTCCCAGCTAGTTTTCTAATGGTTCTCTAATCAATGTCACTAGTTGAAAATTTGAATCTAATGTATTGCATCTCCAACTTTTAACAGCACAATTACTACTGAGGCTAAACCGAACGTCATCCCCATCGACTACTAACTAATATCTCGTAATATCTAACTTCATATGTATATAAATTTAATACTTCATTTACTATACTGACTTTCAATTTGTACTTTATGTTAACTAGATAATTTGGTTTCCAATTTTCTCTCATTTAGATCATAAATTCCAATGTCCACATTGTCCTAAAACATTTCGATTGAAAAGATACTTGGAAGGTCATGTGAAACGAGTACATGCAAGTAAGTGTTTGTTTGTTTGTGTGTGTGTGGGGGGGGGGGCGTGAAAATCAGAACTTTTTCTTTATTGACATCGATTTCATGATCGATCGGTCGATCAATCAAACAACAATTATTTAAGTAAAATTAGATCAATTGATACAAGATAAGTGTAGAAATTGACCTCTTTCGTATTCCTCGCCTTGATATTGATTGGTGCTAGTTGTTGCAGTTCGTTAGTTATCTTCATCACCTCCGTGTTCTCTGTGTTCACCGTCGGGTTCTGTCTTTGCTACCAGCTTTTTGGTTATCTCTTATAGATGTTCGAGTTTGTTTGACGCTTAGCGTAAATCATCCACTGACGAAATCCAGATCTTCTAGAGTCTCCCTACTGGTCCAACGTATTCCTGTATTCCCACTTACAATCCATAGTCTGGCACATAATCCAGATCACTATAATTAGGAGGACCATTGGCGATAATAGTCAGCCTTGTCTTACCCAATTCTGTATTCACTTCGAAAGCCCCACTGAGTTACCCGTTGTGAATCACCTGACCAATAGGAATGTCATACAGCCAGCTGTTGAATAAGGTTGGCATAGATTTGCGGCACTGCACGCCATAGTGTAGGTGAGCTGATTTAGCCGACAGCAACTTTGAATGAAGCCAAATAAAGAAATATTTAGAAGATTTAATAACACTCTGTTCTGACGCTAATCACTCTCTCGACAAACGATGATAACTAACATATAATTAGGGTGGAAAAAAGATTACGGGTGGTAGTCAGACCAATGTTGGAAGACTGTCGATGTTGCATGGCTCAGTGGCCGTCCCTCTCTCTCTCTCTTTCGATGGCATAAATGCATTCACTCCTTATACGGTCTTCCAGGTTCAGTAAATTCTCACTAGTCTCCATGTGATTCATAAGCTGTAGTACATTGAATCGCGCGCTTTTGTTCAAAGTTCAACACCATTGATCATCCACTTCAAATTAGCACAAAAATCAGGTGAAGATCACTTTCCTGTATGTAGAAGTAAGGAAATCAGAAAAAAGAATTTACACAGTTCGCGATAAAATGTCACCGAAGTTTCGTCTGAAAAAACAGCCAGCCAGTGGTGTTAGTTTGTTGGGTTGATAAATTGATTCAAATCTCTGTGAGCTGAGATGAGTTAAACCGGCTGGCTGGCCAGCTACACACCGCTGACAAACTGAGTTTCAAACGAACGGAATAGCCGCCGGTTGTCTTTCAATCACTTTGACCTAACTTTGTCGATTTGCTACATACTACTGATATCATTGATTTCAGTAGTTGTATTCACTGACTACTTATATGCATCAATCAGTAGTATAGCCTCCAAAGCCTCAGGATGGTCGGGGGTGGGTGTCTTGCGCTGCGGGTTGGCCACCCCTCCGTACACCTCTTGAAATGCTCCCATATGACCGGGCGTCTTACATAGCCTCTCCTGAGGAAGTCCTACTCACTGCCTTCACGTGGCGGAGGTGTTTTTCACCAAAGTGAGAGGGCAAAAGCGGATGCCCGGCGCTCTTCACCGGGTTGGCTGTCCATTGGATGACAGTCTAGGGGAGATGACTAAGCCCTGATTCCAAACCTCCAACGACTGGCGTATGAAGCTCACCGGAGCTCACCGGCAGACGTATGGACAAAGGGCTTATTGGATGCCCTGGATGACTGGCCCCATTCAAAAAGGCGAATGAACCGGACTCCGGTCACCATCTGCCAATGGATAATGGACTCCCTACTCCACTCCTACTGCCTTGTAGGTCACACTTGGTTGTGTAAAGGCTAGAGCTGCACTCTCAAACAAAAGGCCGAGCGATTCTGGGGACATCACTCGTACCCAATTCCCATGAAACTTCATGGTTCATGAAGCCGGCTCATCCTCCCGTAGGAGATAGCCGAAGTAAAGTAAAGTAATCAGTAGTATATAGCATCTTGCATAATTTATTCACTGTAGAGAATTTCACAAAATTTATATTGTCTTCCTAACTGGTTTACTTGAATAAGTCACATCTCATATTGTTGATTTTATTAGTATATTTTCTTCAAAAGGTGTCCTGAATTAACCGAAACTCTCTTTTCTCCCTTTTTTTTCATAGGCTTAGGGAAAGGTGGTAATCCTCAACCACCACCTGGTTGACCGACGTATTGTGTTCCTCTTTAAATGGCGCTTACAACATACACACTAACAAACACACACTCACATGTAGACAATCTCAGATTGATTGGTTACCATTGGTTGCACACTCACTCACAAACACATAGGCACACACACACACAAAGAAAACACATTAAATCTTTTATAGTTCTGTTAAATTTATCATTATGAATGTTACTGATGAAACGTATAATATTTGGGGTCGAAAGCAATAGAAGAAGAACAAGAATCATTTGTTTACTCCTTCCTTCCTGTCCTGCCCTGCTCTAAACAAAGTCTTTTAATCATTGTGTATCAATTCTATCATTGCCATTACTACTACTAATATCACTATTACTATTACCTTTTTGTATGTATGTATGTATGTATGTATCTGTGTGCGTGGGCGATCTGCCTGACTGATTGACTCATCGAGTCTTGAATCATGTTTTATATGCATACAGTTACTGACCTTGAAATTCTTCTCAATTTAAACAAATAAATGGCGCTCGCACACACGCACGTAATTAATCAATAAAGAAAGGTCTTCAATGTAAATAGAAGCAAAAAAACCCATATATGTGTGCGTGTGTGTATGTTATGCTTCAAAACTCTTTCCTCTCTTTTTTGTACTCTATTAAACTTAATTTATATTAAACTAATCAATTATTTATTTCACAATGAATATATATATATATATATATATATATATATATATATATAACATACTTGTTAAATATATAAAATTAAAAATAATGTGTCAATGATTTGTTATTTCCTCTTATTAATTTCTGTGAAAAAGGATTACACGTTGACGCATGCATACTAGTCAAATGTTCAGTCACTAAGTACGTATGTCTCTAATTTCTAATAAGAAGTTGTCAGCAGTAGGTTTGATAGGAAACAATTAACCGGTAACTCTAATCCTTAGCGATCCCAAAGAAAGACCGAATACAAAATGGGCGCAATGACCTTGATCGACCAATCCAAAGAGCCCATGTTAAAAACGCGGTAATATAAATCCAGCACTTGACTTACATTAAAAGGTAGTAGTATTTGAGTACTGTCGATATAAAAAGGTTATAGGAAGCTTGTAGATATGGAGGAGTGATGTACATGTGTGGAGTCTGTCGTTGAAAAAAAAACTGTCTGAAGAGATATGTTGTCCTCTCTTTTTAGGATCATGGGTAGTGTAGCGTAGTAAATGGGTTACAAAACAGCGTGAATATCCAGTTATCTGGACGAATTTATGCACCGAAATAGGTTTGGATTACCACTGAAGACTGTAGTAAAGAATTAGGAGGTTTTTCTGAGACACATACAAGAAGAAGTTACTTCGTACAGCTGTCTCTTAACACGAAGCGTATTTAAGATGCTTCCATCTGATTGCCTGACTGATTTCATTTCCTCTGTTTAATTCGGTCCTTCGTTTGGGTTCCTTAGGTTTAGAGTTACTAATTAGCCGTTGCCAATTAGATTTCAACCTCCCAGCTGAATTTTTAACGCGTTTGCTTTACTATTTGAATATACTTAGTTACTTCCGTGGTGGAGTCATCGGTGCACACTATTGAAGAGTCCAGATAGGGTTTTAATAGGTATGGAAAATCACAAAGACTGAATGAATCCGCACCAGCCATTGAGAACAATTTTGAGCCATATCACCACCAACTGTCACCAGCCAGTGGTTCTTAGAATTTTGGTTCAAGATAACTGTGAAAGATTTAATAAACTGTTTCCACGTTTTAGTTTGACCAGCACTATCTGTTTTCCAAGAATGATCCTATGTTAACTGGAATTTTCTTCTCGATAACAAAGGCAATTGTTTTACCTGTGCAAAACATTTCCTAGCCATCTCACTCGCTATTCAGCTTTGTAATCTTATCGATTGACTACACCCTCCATATCACACCCAACCGATATGGGAGATGTAACACAAGCACTCCTATGAATAAACACAGCTAATCGCCTCATATCTTACACTTTCAATGGTCATGTGTCACAACCAAAAGATGAGGATAGATTGAATTGCTGTGCACACTTCCTCTGGTCGATAGCTAGCCACATATCACGCCTACAGTGGGGGTATGATTAGCACATCCCATCAATTCCACTTCCTAACATGAACGAAACAGACATCCAGTACTCTTTGGTTTCCGGTGATTATTAAATTGATATCGTTTATAGAATTAATAGTCTGGCTGGGGTTGACATAATTTATCACAACCCAAGCCGACCAAACTGCCTCAGTCAGTCATATTATCGCTTTGTTATACTGTAGACTGTAAATGAATCATGCTGTCAATTAAAGACAAGATTGCTCGAGATAGAATTACAAAAAAGTACGACAATGGATTACGTCTAGCGTGACCCGAAAGTACTGTTTCCATAAGTGACGAGGATACTTGTATTCGCCTTCAGTCAAATATTAGTTACTATTCAAGATCATTTTCTTCTGTCATGATACGTTCTCTTTAACCTCATAGGAAACGACTAATTAATTGAAGTGAAAAACAAACAATGAGCGTTGTTCAGTTCATTCGGATTCCTTAGTCAGTTATTAACTTCAGTGCAGATGAGTACGTCCAGTTCAGTAGAACTTCGATATATATATTACTTAAAAGTTAAGTCAATAGTAGTTTACTGTTCTGTTGTACTACAGAAATTTGATTTTTCTTTTTTTTGGCTGAATAAATTTCTTGAGCTTCTAATAAGAATATATGATCGATAGACTGCTCCTCGAATGTTTGGTATGAAACGAAGACTCATCGATAAAACACTGATTGGCCTAGACTTCAACCTTTTGGTGGTTTAATTGATTAATACGTTTGCCTCACAACCTGAAAGTTCTTATTTAGTTTGATCCCTAATGGTGAGGTTGTCAAGGTGCGGTACTGTGAAGAGTACCAAACAAGGATAGAACAGTTATCCAATAACTCTCTGGTCTTTGAATAAAGGAAGAATACCAGTTTTTGTAGGATAAAATGGTACCATCAGTTATTTCCTTGCCTTCTCATCAGTTGCTAATGTATACCATGGATGTGCGATTCCAATTTGACAACACTCTTTACCGCCAACAAATAGATGTCTGTAGTTATGGGCAGTCCACTTAGCCCTGTTTTGTAGTGTGTAACAATGAAAGTCATGCTTCCCACTTTACTTAGATTATTCAATGACGCACATAACAATATTGGATTAACTATGGAACATGAAAATGATGTGAATTCCCACTTCCTCGACACTGCCATGCAACGCCTAGAAAATGGTAGGCTTCAGAATTCAATTTACCGAAAGCCTACTTGGAAAGAATAATACCTACATTTTAATCATTTTTGTCCAAATGCCCGACCGAAAGCTGCTACCTTGACGTGGTGGTCGGGCTTGAACACCGGAATGACCTAATCAAGCTATACTGGCTGAGACTTATGTCTCTTGAGGTTCTACCATGCCAGAAACGTTGTTTGGATAGCGGTTAAACAAAAAGCAGCTACCTCATCCAATATCATGATCCAAACAAATTCACAAAATTTCATGCCGGATCGGCCGTGGCCCGGATTAACAACGACCGCGCTTCCTGCTGCCGTGTCACAGGGCGGGAGTGATAAGTATGCTACTGAGACACACCAAACAAAAAAGAACGAACAAAAACAGGCCGCGTGTGACCGGCCTCAAGCAGTTGTCCCCTGGGCTCTGCGGTCACGCAACCAACTTCCACGGTGTGGGCAGCCGGGAAGTAACAATCGCCCTCACAATCCGAAATGCACAGGAAGCCTCTCTATTACTCACTCATCTTTGTCTTCATCTTCATCTCTATTACCTTGCCTTCCTTCCACTGATGCAACTCCTCGACTTGATAGCTCTCCACTTCCTCTTCACTCTGTGTCCACTAAAAACGACGAAAGCCAAAAAACCACCACGGATAGTCTCCTAAAGCCACGCCACCAATTTCATATAGGAGCATTTAATGTTAGGACACTTTGCCAAATAGGACAACAAGCATCACTAGCTAAGACCCTGGCATCTCGAGCCATTGATGTATGTTGTGTTTCAGAAACACGCATACAAGACCCAAGTGTGGTTATTCACCTAACCCCACCTGGCCAACAGGATGAATCTTCAAAATTCACCTTGAGGTTGTCAGGAGATGCCACAGCCAGTTCACGAGGATTAGCTGGCGTAGGGATAGCTTTGAGTACTAGGGCAGAAAAGACATTGCTTGACTGGATCCCGGTAGATAGCCGAATGTGTGCTGTCCGTCTGAACGGATCAGTAAGGAGGAGAAAAGACTGCACTAGTCGCCGATGCCTTTTCGTAATCTCCGCCTACGCCCCCCCTGACTGCAGTTCGGATGAAACGAAGGATGAGTTCTACCAAAAGCTGTCTAGTTTGGTGAGAAAGGCTAAACGCTCAGATATAGTCGTTCTAGCTGGTGACTTTAACGCTCAAGTAGGGAAATTGCGTCAATCTGAGAAGGATGTCGGTGGCACCTATGGAGTTCCGTGCCAGCGAACCGACAACGGTGACCGTCTCCTACAGTTCTGCTCTGATAATCATTTGTTTCTCGTAAGCACTAACTTTAAACACAAGGAGAGACACTGTTTAACCTGGCGACCCCCATCATCAAACCAACGCTGGACACAAATAGACCACATAGCAATAAGCTATCGTTGGCGTGGGTCGGTAGGAGATTGTCGCTCCTTCTGGAACACGTGTGTAGATACCGACCACGCACTGGTCCGGGCTCGTGTGTGCTTACGACTGAACGGACGTAGGAAACAGCTGGCGGTAAAACCATCACTTCCCCAGCTCGATCAGGAAACTAAATCCCTATTTGAGGAAGAACTAGCTAAACACATATCTGAATTCGACAGCTGTGCTCACTCTGGAGAAGCCTGGAAGAATATTCAGTCAGCTATAGATACAGCTGTAAAAGCTGTGAATAAGGCAAATACAAAGGTGAGTAAAAACCACTGGATTTCGACTGCCTCATCCGAACTGATAGATGCTAGAAGACTTATTCCGGCGAGCTCCGAATTCAATGAGGAGCGAAAGCTGCACAAAAGGAAACTTACTAAAAGTCTCCGCAAGGACCGTGAACAGTGGTGGGTGAGAAAAATGGCTCCTTAATTAGCTCTCAGAAAAGACGCCTTGAACGCTGGAAAGAACACTTTGAGGAACAATTTAACTTGCCTACAGCCACACTGAACCTCCCCGCCATCCACCACGTACCCGAATGGGATATAGACACTGGTCCGCCGTCTGTAGGTGAGGTTACAAAAGCTATCAGTAATTTGAAACGAGGCAAAGCGGCAGGACCCGACGGAATTATTCCGGAGGTGTTTAAATATGGGGGTGACATACTAGTTTGTAGATTAACTGAGGTACTAGGCAAAGTCTGGGAATCAGAGACAGTACCATCAGACTGGGGTAAGTCACTTATTATACCGATATTCAAGAAGGGAAACAAGTCCTCGTGTGATAATCATAGGGGAATCAGCCTAACGAACATAGTCTCTAAAATCCTAGGCTCAGTAATCATGCATAGACTAAGCAGAACTCGGGAGGAACAGACAAGGGAAAATCAAGCAGGCTTTAGACCAGGTAGAGGGTGCATAGATCATATCTTCACTCTTCGACAGATTCTAGAACATAGACACACTTTTCGGCGTCCAACAATTGCCATATTTC